GTTTACAATAACGTACCTCAAGCTGTATGCACTATTAGATCTATTAAAAGGAAATTGTAACTGTTATCCTTAGTAACAGTTTCCTTAGAGAGAAGATTACAACATTAGCCAAAAATCAAGATATTTTTGCACTATTTTATTATATTTTGTTATAGACTATTAGGAACTTTGCCATAGAATGACAAAGTGTGTCCCGACAAACTCAATTTATTGATCATGTATTTGCCAATAGTGGCTAACCTCCAATTCACAAATATGTACCTGAAGTACCGGAGATATCTGATGTATGAATAAGCTTCTAACTCTGAAGACAGCTAGCAAGAAACATAATATAGAGACCTCTCTTCACACTTCAACAACTGCACTGGGGATTATTCATAGAGCAGACAAATACACCTGGATCACATGTCCTGAAAGGCTCAGTGTAGTCTGCTCCTTGGGTTCTGGTGTGACCCTAAATAGGCCATGACAACAACCATCAATGTGGCATTAGACTATTATACACAGCGTGGATTTTAAAGTTCATAATGCACTAGATGTAAAAAATGTACCGTCCTCATACTTAACGACATGGCCAGATTTACATCTTAGTGACCCAACCTGACTGACCAGAACCCAGGCCCTCCATCCATCCATCCATCCCTCTATGCCTTCTGAATTAGGTACATAGAGCGATATCGCGTGGAAATATGAGCGATATCGCTGCAAGAATCGCTCGATAAAATCGCTCAGTGTGAATGGGGCCTTAAGGAGTTCCCTTCACTGGAACTAAGGGGCCAAGCCTAAACCCTGAAAAACAACCCCACACCATAATCCCCCCTCCACCAAACTTTACACAATGTAGTCAGGCAAGTACCGTTCACCTGGCAACCGCCAAACCCAGACACGTCCATCAGATTGCCAGACAGAGAAGCGTGATTCATCACTCCAGAGAACACGTCTCCACATCTCTAGAGTCCAGTGGTGGTGTGCTTTAAACCACTGCATCCGACGCTTTGCATTGCACTTGGTGATGTAAGGCTTGGATGCAGCTGCTCCACCATGGAAACCCATTCCATGAAGCTCTCTACGTACTGTTGTTGCGCCAAACTGAAGGCCACACGAAGTTTGGAGGTCTGTAGCTATTGACTCTGCAGGCAGTTGGCGACTTCTGCGCACTGTGCGCTTCAGCATGCGCTGACCTGGCTCTGTCATTTTACATGGCCTACCACTTCATGGCTGAGTTGCTTCCACTTTGTTATAATACCACTAATAATTCACTGTTAAATATTTAGTAGTCATATAATATATGTATATAGGTGCCCTTACACCTGTATGTGTGGAGGGTGTTGCAAATGTTTGTAAATTGTGTGTGCATCTGTTTACTTGCTTTAATCATTAGTGGTGCAGAAAATCTTAAATGTGAGTCAGTATAACCATGCAGGGTGAAAAGGGACTAAAGCAATTAAAAAGCCCTGTAACAGAATCAGTGCGTACAGTAAATACTTCTTAAAACAGAAGGTATTCACATGTCTCATTCCATCACATATCCCAAAATCAGGACAATGGGTGGTATTGCTTTACATCCCATTGATTAGATACACATTCAGAATCACTGGTGTATAGTGCAGATATAGCCTAATATTATAGAGCCATTTATTCCAAACTGAATACTAATGTTACAGGCTATTGGGCCTTCATAATGTGAAACATCAGTATGCAGTTTGATATAAATGACTCTGTAATATTAGGTTATACTGTATTTGCTCTATATGCCTGTGGTTCTGAATGTACATCTGGCCAATGGGGTGCAAAGCAATGATTTGCATGGCTCCACCCATTGTCCTGAAATGAGGCATCACCCTCTTATATTTGAGGATATGTAATGGAATGAGACGTGTGAATATCTTCAGTTTTAGGAAGGCTATAATGTGTGTGCCAAATTTAATTTGACTGAAGAAAAAGCAAAGTGCCAAATAGATTAGCTATATATTTCCAGAAGAGAAAGGACCTTTCACAAATCTAGAGCCGATTGTTTTTCCCACTCTAAATGATAATTGCTACTGAAAGAGAAAGACGTTCAAAACATGTTGGGTACCAAGGGAACTACCTTTAGTACTGTGTAGAAAGGACCTGCACCCCGTAACATTTATTCCTCTGTTGTGTGTTAGATTGCTACTGCATGCATGACAGCAGCATTCAGGAAAGAGTAAAAGGGCCCATGTTGAAGGTGCTTCGATGGACAATAGCAGCATTTTTTTGGACATTAGCTTGAGACACTTTGAAAATCATCCAGAATTCACTGCAGGTCCAGTTGACCTGTATTTGGCCTACATTGTCTGCTTTCACATTACCATACAATTGTATGGGGAGAAAAGCAATTCTGAAGCAAATAAAAGCCTGTCAAAATTGTCCATTACTGCCAGAATGGTGTACCTGGCTAAAGAGCAAGTTTTGCATGACATATGTGGAGCAGGTCTCGGAGCTTTGTTCTGTGCAGAATCATTGGCCCTGCGGTGTCACCTTTACAAAAGGAAAATGACTGCAGTCTCCACGAACACTCATCCACCCATGGGCTTTGTGAGGCCAAATGGTCTGTCTTGCATCCAGCCCCTATATGCTTGCTCTGCCTCCTGTTCTAACAGAAGATCTTCTCTCTGGCTGAACCTGCTGCTTGAGATTGCAGACAGTCATTATCTACCTCAGCTAAAATGGGATATGGCTTGCTCTACTCCCAAGCAAACAACTGATGTACACATTAACCCTTATGCTTCGCCTCCCAACCCTTCTGGAAGCAGGTACCCCTACTACAGTAGAACCCAAGGGCCTAGTGTGCCTACAACATACTCTGCTTGTGTACAATGGTACCATTAAAGAAGTAATACTAGGATGTACTATTTAAGAAGGCATACAATTTGTTTATGCGTTGCATTCCCCTTGAGCCAGGCAGGTTTCAGTCAAGAATAGAGAGAGCCTTTTGACTTTTCTCTGTGGGCTCTCATGTTAACCCTTCCTCATACCATTTCTTCTTTTCTACTAGACCTGCTAATAGATTTTCAAACATATATCCAGAAGTAGACAAACAAAAATAAAAGGATAAATTGAAGACAATACCTACGTTTTCTGTCTAAACTTTACCCTATTGTCCGGAACACAGGTTTACATTTTAAAAAAGTGAGCCAATCTTAAAGTAACTGTAAACCGAACACATGTGATCTATATCTTAGCAATGCTTAACCACGCTATATATCTTACAATGTTAAGAGTACCTTTTTTGCTTCCTTTTCATAGCGTGGACTGTGGGCAAACTTCAAATGACATTTGCTGCCTTGTACTAATGTCTCATGTGTCAGAGACAGGCAAAAGTACCCTAAGGTTATAGGCAGGAATAAGGGGATGATTGACCTCCCCTTGCCTAGTGTTTGGCAGCCATTCACTAGCTAAGCGCGCGTCAAGAGGTGAGCACACTAGAGTGTCCTGCAACTCCTAGCAGAAATACTAGGAGCGCAAACAGACCATGCCAGCACAGATCTGCTTCCATGCTTGGCGTGGTCAGTATTTAGCAGCTACATGCAAAAAAAAATTAAAAGGTTACATTTATTAAGAAGTATCTGTAAAAGTCAACACATATATGTAATTCAATTTTTTGGGGTAACGTACACTTTACTGCTACATTTGCATAATTGTGTATATGGCATCGGGCAATACATAGAGTCAAAGGAGAACTATGGGGTAAGTGTTTATCCCCATAGTTCTCCTAAGGGTCACTGGAGGATGCAAGTTTCTAAAGCTCAGTATATCGCGAGCTACAGCTCGTGGTATACTGAGACCTCCGCAGCCGGGATGGATCCCGAGATTTCTGTCAAGATCCACCCAGCTGCGTGATTGACAGCTGGCTCTGCCTATCTAGAGGCAGAGCAAGCTGTACCCGCCCCGTTCCCCGTTCTGCCGGTCACCGCTGGAGGATCGGAGCATGGAGGGGGGGGGATCCCTGCAGGGAGCCGTGAGTGACACTGCAGGGACATGATCGAGAAGTGAGCGAGTGACGTTATGTGTCTGCTCACTTCCCGATCTTTCGAGCCGACGTGTGACAGTTTAATTGTCACACGTCGGCTCCAACTATGAGCTTGAGTGAAAATCACTCACCTCATAGTTGTCCTTAAAGACCTGAAATCCTGGAAAGTGCAACACCAGATACTCAAATGTGAAGTCCTACTGATTATACTGAAACCCACACAAAACAGCATGCACTTATTTCATAAAATATTGACAAGCAATATAACGTTACTTCATAAAATATTGACAAACATTTTAAGTAGCAGGTGACATTATTGTATTTTAGCTTCTTCCATGAAAACCCAGCATGTAATTCTGAGAAAACTCAGAATGACATGCTTTACAACACATCCATGGCAAGCATGGCCTGGAATAAATATAAAGCTAACAAATTGCAGATTCTCCTGTAAAAATGAGATATCAGAAAAGCTACCTATTAAATATTATTGATCTACATGATGACACATATGTTTAATATAATAATATAAATGGTGCATATCTGATTGACAGGCTATACCTGTGAAAAATTAAATCAGATTAATAATAATATTCCCATAAAGCTTCAAAATATAGCTAGAATATTATTTTAAATCAGTTCTCACATTTTGACTTCAGCCTGTGGGTCAGTCTTCTAATTACTGAAAAGGCCTTTTAATCTACACTAAATCTTCTCGTTATGTGCCATTCTGTATCTGACAAATTGTCTCATCCATCTTTATACACAAGTCTAATTTAAGATTTATCTCATAATGCCTAAATCAACTAAACAAACAGCAGAACCCACATCCCAATTAAAACTGACATAGTCATTGTTATGGTTACCCTAGAGACATGGCAATAAAAAATATATGCCCACACACATTCTTTTCAGTTGGTGTTTTTGTATATTTTACATTAAATCAATTGTGCTACACAGGCAGGTATAAATAGTTTCAGAAGTTTTTACAAATTTGTTAAAAAAATACCTTTCACTCCTCCAAATGACCCATGAGTCATGTTGCAAGCAGTTCGCTGTAGATTATGTTCATACATCAATTTAATTTGATACTGATTGCCATGCTCCACATTTCCCAATGTACCTTTATAGAGACAAAGAATGCAGTTTTGTTAGTCGGAAAAAAAAATTGCCCATGATTTGCTAAAACACTAATTACGTTACATGGATTAAAACAGTTTTCACATGTTTTAAGACTCTGTAAACTACTGTGCTGAAAAAGATCCCATTGTTTACAGACCTCAATAGCTCAAGTGCAAATGAACCCACATATCTGAAAGATCAAATGAGTAAATCCTCCTCCTTCCCTGGCTTCCTATTTATACAGCTATTAGCCATGTTTCACAGTGAGAGAAACTATGAGTAAACAAGTATCCATTTATATGATAGCTCATTCTTATTTTTCTGAATTGTCAACATCTGTAATATATATTAGGGATGCACCAATACAATTTTCTCCAGACCAAGTACAAGTACCTATTCTTTTCCTCAAGTACTTGCCAATACCAATTACAATTTTTAGTGTCATGCAACAGTTTTTCTAAAACAATACAGACAAATGATTAGTCCCAGGGCCTGGTCGCAGCTGCAACCCTTGCAACCCTGGTATTTCTGCCGGTGACTCCAAGATGTAGAGGGACTACAAATCTCAGCAATACATTATACAACAATAAAGAATACCACCAGCTATAGAGGACTACAAATCCCAGGGATACATTATACAGCAATACCGAATGGCACCCGGCTAAAGAGGACTTTTTTAAATGAAGCCGGTGCTGTAAACAAGCTCCGGGCTTCACAGAAAGGCTGCCGAGGTCCCCAGCAAGGTCCCAGTGAGCGATTTAGGGTTTAAAGTGGGCTGTGCGGACTCTCAGGTGGCTGTGTAGGTTATCTGGAGGGCTGTGCGGACTCTCAAGTGGGCTGTTGGGCTCTCAGGTGGGCTTTGCAGGGTCTATAGTGAGTTATGCAGACTTTCAGGGTGCTGTGCAGGTTTTATGGTGGGCTCTGCAGACTCTCAGGTGGGCTGTGTGGGCCCTCAGGTGGCTTTGCAAGTTTTCTGGTGGGCTTTGCAGGTTCTATGGTGGGCCGTGCGGACTCTCAGATGGCAGCGCAGGTTCTATTGTGGGCTCTGCAGGCTCTCAGGTGGCTACGCAGACTCTATGTGGGCTGTGGGGAACCTCAGCTGGCAGTGCAAGGGTCTATTGTGGGTTGTGCTGGGTTAATGGTGGCTGTGCAGCTTTGTGCTGGGCTGTGTGGGGTTAATAGCAAAACAAATGATTATCCGCGCTATAGTGCTCTGCCCCAATCTCCTCAAAAACACCCTATTGACAGCTGCAGAGATAGAGAGAAGCTATATAAACTTCTCCCACAATATATTAAACAAAAGACACTGCGCTATCTTTAAATATTATAAAACTCTAAGTGCATATACTTAGTGACAATTATACAACATGTTCACTCCAACTTATATATAGTCCATATAAAAATATTCCCAAAGTTGATGTGATTAAAAATAAATGTGATGAAATCCTTGTGTTCACTTTCTTTACATCAGTGAGTCAAATAATCATTGTATATAATTGTTTAATATATGTGTGGGGTTAATGCTGGGCTGTGCTGGGCAGTATGGGGTAATGTTGGGCTGTGCTGCTCTGTGTTGGGCTGTGTGGGGTTAATGGTGGCTGTGCTGCTCTGTGAGGTCTCACTTTGGTCCTGGTCATTCAGTCGGGTGGCGGGCACGGGCTGCATGGAGGAGGAGGAGAATTTAGCCGGCACCGTAAGTAAGCGCCATCGTTCACAGGAAGGCTACTGGGACCTCGGCAGCCTTTCTGTGAAGCCCGGAGCTTGTTTAAAGCACCAGCTTCATTTAAAAAAGTTAAAGCGCCATTATCGGCACTTTGTATCAGGGCATACTCGTACTCATGAAAATGCCCAGTATCGGCACACGTGTGTGTGTGTGTGTGTGTGTGTGTGTGTGTGTGTGTTTTACACACACACACACACACACACACACACACACACACACACACATATATATAATCTCATTTTTCCCTTACTGACATTCTTAAAGTGACAACACCACTCCAAGCTTACTCCCGTGATGAATTACAATTACAATTTAATTTTTTATTAGCTAATTTGTATTGAGATTGTAGTCTGGAGCGGCTACTTTACAATACACGCAAGGACCATGGGGAACAAAAGTAGCCATCCTCCAGAAGGAAGGACAGTGCCAACATGAATACAGAGATGATTGGAAGATCTACAGCTGAATGGTGCACAAATAAGCTACATTTCTGTTAATAGTTAAGGTACCGGAGTGCATTTTTAAGACTTAAAGTGACATTAAACCCTCAGATTTTTTTAACATAAAACAATAGTGTAATGTGTGCCTTACTGTAATCCATTGTTGTTTCCCTTCTCTTTGCTGCTCTTCCTTTTAAATCTGTATCTGTTCTCATGCTCTGCAGAACTTCTGTTTTGCAGCAGACTGCCTTGTCTCAGGAATGGATATACGGTGTCTGTGTATTAGTTTCTATAGGCTTGTAACCTGAGCCAGCACTACAGGAAGAGGCCCTGAGCTGCAAAGGGAAGTTCTGCAGAGCATGAGAAGACATTAAGGATTTAACATAAAACAATACTAAAATGTGTGCCTTACTGTAATCCATGGTTGTTTCCCTTCTCTTTGCTGCTCTTCCTTTTAAATCTGTATCTGTTCTCATGCTCTGCAGAACTTCTGTTTTGCAGCAGACTGCCTTGTCTCAGGAATGGATACACGGTGTCTGTGTATACGTTTGTATAGGCTTGTAACCTGAGCCAGCACTACAGGAAGAGGCCCTGAGCTGAAAAGGGAAGTTCTCCCCAAGCATGAGAAGACATGAGGATTTAAAAGGAAGAGCAGCAAAGAGAAGGGAAACAACCATGGATTACAGTAAGGCGCACATTACAGTATTGGTTTATGTTAAAAAATCTGAGGGTTTAATGTCACTTTAACTCCTGTGTTTAATGTCACTTTAAAATCTGATTGATCTGAGAGAACAAATAATAAAATAGAAGGACATTTTGGATTGAAAGTGGCTTCAGAGACAGACATGTCCATAGAGAAAGCCGTTTAAAACCTATAAGAAAACATTTACTAAAACTAAAAGGATAGAAATATTAACATCATCATTCACGTACTCAGGCTGTCGAGGTTCATCATTCATATTAATCATCATTCGTATGCACTACATCTTCACAGCAAACAGCTTACTCTGACACACATATGTGTGTGAGGTGTCATAAGACACTTTACATTTAATTGGCCTTTTCAGATTTCATAAACCTGTACCAGGCCATGACATATCTAAAGAGCAAGAGTAGAAACTGGCCATATTACCACCTATCAGGAATGAAAATTCACTTGTGTAAAAAAGGTAAATTTTTCAATAAGTTACGCAAAATGTTATATGAACCAGAAGCAATGTTCACAATGGTTCCTCTCTGAGCTGTCTCACAAAAGAACATAATTACATATAAGATCTATTGTCTTTGAAAAGAAAGGCCTTTGAAAAGAAAATACGCAGTCTCACTTCATCTCATATTTTTTGCTGTGATCTGTTTATATGTCTAAACATTTTCCCTTTTTTTTTTTTAACCAGGTTATTTTGAAGAATTTTTGTAACCAGCTAAAAACAGAAATATTGAACACTACAAAGGGAATTGTAGCATAGACAAGGTATTCCAATTACAAGCACAAATCATAGTGCCTACTGATAAGAGGTGGAAGTTGGAACAATGGTAAGGGGGGCAGTAGGAAAATAGCAATAGGAGGTATGGCATTCCAAGAGTATAAGAATGTTTAGACTTGACTTCCATCTTTCAGAAAATCAGCATCCCATGTGTAGGGCTCGGCAGCAATGTTAGAGAAGTTAGAGGTATGCTCAGGACTGATGCGGTCACAGAGTGAGGGGGGAGGTAAATGGTCTCTGTCCTGTTGCTGGTCTAGGAAGTAGAAGTCCAGGTGAAGAAGTCAGGCTGGGATTCTTGGGGTCCTCAAGGTGGATGGGGAGGAGAAAAGAGAGAAAGGGCAGAATGAGTGGTAGCAGGGTGTGAATGGGTAAGGGAGTGCAGGATGGAAAGGGATGAGGAGGGGGTGGAATGTGGGAGGGTGAGTGAAGATCAGGACATATGACCTTTACCATGACTTATAGGATCTTAATGTTTATTTTTATTTTAATTGTTCAGTTATGTACATTGTTTTAATAATTACCTGAGACAGAATATACACAGAGTTTTCTTGGATGCAATACAGCAAGATGGAGAAGTTCCATACCCCTACAAGAGATACGTAAACAAAACAGCATATGGTAAGTGGTTAAGTAAGGCAAGCATTACAAAAATGATATTGGTGCTACATCAAGACACACAAAGAAAGGGGTTTTCCTTATCAATAAAATTGAAGTGCAAGCTGAGTCCATGTAAGAAGGGGTCAATAACATTAACAAATGTTGTATGTAAAGCAGCTGTTCCTATACAAATTCGGAGATACCAAATAAGGTACAGCAGAGAAATTAGCTAAAATGTTGAAGTGTATGCAAACCCTAATAATGAACTTCTTATTGGATCCTTTTTGGTTTGTGAAATATGCCACTGAGGCATTTCGTCATACCGGATCAATTAAATGCTAAAAAAAATACCTGCTGATCCTGCAAGTAATCTTGTAAACTGATATCTTTCTTTGCCTTCTGCCTCTGCTGACTGTTATCAGTTAGTTTTATCCTCCCCTCACCTCCTCTAGTCCTAACCCACCTCCTGTCCTAGAATGAAAACATTACTCATGCATAAATACATTACTGAATGTGTACGGTCATTGTAGAACAGGCAGTATGCTACTGGCAGGATCACCAGGTAAAAATAAAGAAAAAACATCCTCAAAAATAAAATGCAGCCACCACATCAATGTACTGGTAAGTTGCAAAAGTGCATTACATTTAGTTTGTTTGTGGTTTGGATACACCTCAAGTGTAACCTATTATCTTTTCCAGCATTTGTTAGACCAAGGGAGACATACAAAGGCTGACCATAGTTGGTCTCATTTATAAAAGTCTTCTACGGCTCATTCTCACAGACCCAAATACAGGCGTATTTGCAGTGCCTGGGAGCCCCAGCTGCTGCATTTTGTGCCCATAGGGATGTATGGAGGAATAGAAGAAATCTTGAAAGAAAAAGAAAAGTGAGTGCTGTTGACTTTTCTTCTATTCTTCTGTGGATGAACACGGCACTATCTGTGGTTGTCACTACAAGCACCACAATATTTACTTTGGTCGTAGGTAGGGATGCACTGATACCGGTTTTTCAGTATTGAGTACCAGTACCGATATTTTGCTTTCGGTACTCGGCGATACCGAGTACCTATACCGGCGTGGAGCCAGTGATTGCCCGGGAAGCCGGACGGCATGTAATAACATGCTGCACAGCTTCCTGATTACCCGGGAAGCTGGCTCCATGTTGTTTGGCCAGTTCGATTGTGTTTGGCCGGGAAACCGGCTTCCCTGTCAATCAGCATTGAGCCGGCTTCCCGGCAAGTCAGGAAGCCGGGCGGCGAGTGCTGATTGGGTGGAAAGCAGGCTTCCCAGTAAATCAGCATCAAGTCGGCTTATTGGCCAATCAGCAAGGCGCCAGCTTCCCGGCCAATCAGGAAGCCGGGTCATTACTCACCCGGCTTCCCACTGCCGATCAGAGGAAATTTTCATCTGACCGGACGTTTCTGATATCAGGAAGGTATCGGAGCATTTGGGCGAGTACGAGTACTCGCCCAAATACTCGGTATTGCCACCAATACCGATACTAGTATTGGTGCATCCCTAGTCGTAGTGTTGTATGGAGTGTGTCTGGCATTTGCATCTTTCCAGATGAATTTATGGACGAATACTGAAGTTATGCCTATACATGTGCACATATAAATACAAGTACACGTTCACAAGTATGGGTGTATGTACAACCGCAAACAGCGTATTGTTTACCAGGTGCCGCAAATACAGGTATATTTTAAGCTGCATGCTCATATGCTTGTATTTGCATCTATGCCATGGGAATGAGCTCTTAGAAAAGAGTTGACAATCTCCAGCTGAATAAAATATACAGAATTGCTGCTGAAGCAGAACATTTGTAGTGACTGGGCATTTAAATGTAGGCAAAACTTCAGAAAATGCTTTGCAATTTGGATTTCAAAGGTCTTTACTGATGGCATAGAAAAGCAGACTTTAATCTGGTGGGTAGCAGTACGATATGAAAAGAGATTTCAGGCAATTACAGAAGCTGAATTGAAGAATTATATTATAACTTCCAAAAAAATACATATGTGAACTAGTAGGTTCTTGAATTTATTTGCTTAGAGCTTTTTTTTTCTCAAACCCAGATCTGCCTAGAAAACTCTCAAGCATCTCTGCAAAGGATAACAATTATTTCAACATAGTGTGAAGCACATAGCACATAGGAGTGCTATACTACATGTAACAGAAACAGAATTTTCAGACACTAACAATATCATAAAAAAATTCAACTAGTAACTAAAATCTTTATTTTGAAGAAGTTGGAAATGGCAGCCTAAATACCCTTTTAGTACAGATGGCTTTACGTGCTTAGTTATAACGAAATTCTGCTTAATGACCCTGGATACTATGGGGTCCATTTATAACCAAACATTTTTATAGCTTATTCATGCAGGGAACTGCATGCACATTCACTCTGTGTGAGTTAACCAGCTGCTGTGAGAATAGGGCAAAAATTATGTTTTTAGTGTCATTTTTCTTCTGGCTCAATGTTCTTCAATAAAGTCATTAATAAAAAATCGGGAAACCACGGAAACTACCACGTTATGGCCACTAAATGGAGCTAAGTATCATAAGAAATAAATACAAAGCCTATTTGCCGAAGTGTGATAAGGTTGTACCGCGTCTCACTGCTGTGCGATGCATGCCATACTTTTTTACGAGCACACCACCGGAACGCATTGGTGTGAACTGTCACCATGCATGGCAAACTGCTTTGTCATGCATTCGGGCTGCACTGGAAAAAATGGCCAGAACAGCCCGAATACAGATGGTGTAAGCCAGCCCTTAATGTTGTGGCTGCATCATTATTCCTTTTTTAGCCTTTTTTCAACTGGTGATCCAGCCAGTAACACATTTTCTGACTCAGGCCTCATGCACATCTGGGGATTCCTGCAGGAAGAACCTGTGGATTCTTGCTGCAGGAATCCCAGGTGGATCCATACAGATACAGCCGCTGTGCCCATTCACGTTAATGACAGGGTGACAGCAGCCTCATCTGTCCCTGGCTGTCCGCAGGTAATCATACCATGGACAAATGCAGACCCTGTCACCCTGTTAATAACTTGAATGGGCACAGCAGTCACATCTGTAAAGACCCACCTGTTATTCCTGATGCACAAATCCACAGGTTCTTGCCACAGGAATCCCCAGACCCCAGGTGCATGAGGCCTTAGGGTGGCTCCATTCTATGGAGTTGTAACGGAGCCACCCTTGAACCTCTGCATTGTCAACAACAGTCTGTCTGAGTCCAGGAAAGATTATCCGTCTCTAAGCACTGGTAATCAGTGGATGTCCAATTACATCTGAACAGCTCCAGCTACTGTTAGCCTATCATTGCTTTGTATAGGCCAAATGGCGGCAGCTAATCTCAAGCGCCATACTTAGATTGGGGGATCCATAGATTCTTGCCACTGGAATCCCCAATATAGCCCTAATCACAAGTGTGAATGGGGCCTTTGCCAGCTTTGTACACACACACACACACAACCCAGTAAACAGACTACATAATGGCGCCTTTTAGAGTACAATGTCGGTATATACAATAGCTTCAGGACACCATTGTCAGGTAAAATAATAGCAAGGCTGCTTGGAAATGATTCTGCTTATATTCCCCTTTATTATAAATGCAGATATATGCCAACCTTCTGGCTCATAGCCTACCAGGTTCTAATAATATAAATGCCAAATAATATTAATCTTGACATAAATTTAATTTATTGCATTCACAAACAAGAAATAAATCCTAATGTAAGAACTGCTTAGCATTGATATCAGACAAACTTGAAAAATGCATCAATCTCAGTGCAGACATCATGTCCCTATTCCGTCCAATTCCCAAGAAAGTGCTATGATTAATTCATTTGACTGTACAAGGCTGCATGCAAGTTGAAGGAAAATAATCTACTTCAAAAAGGAATGTATAATGTGATTATGTCTCATATTATGCTAGATCAATGTTATACTATAACCAACACTTTGATCTTGTATAATGATTCTGTATATTCCCGTACTAAAAAAGGGGCAAAAAGGATTGGAGCCCCGGTAATGTGTTCTTACTCCAACCATTCGTCCATATTGCCGGAATTTTTCTAATTTCAAAATCAGATATGTATCTGATCATCTGGAAAGCCAGAAAAGTATTAGAGTGATGTCATCTGGGCAAAATTCTATTAATTCTAAGCAGCATGGATCTCAAAACTGAAAGGTATAAGTTAGAAGCTTCTTTATGTGATTTAAAAAGTGGGAAACATAATGCCAACAAATTTGTATGAACAGGATTTATAAACTGATTTACCTCAACATCTTTTCACTGTATAAACAAAATGTAATTTCTACATTAATTGATTGACTTGCTAAACCTACTTCCATCAGTGTAAATTAAAGGCGTTCTAAAGACCCAGCATATACTATCCTGTTAACAGCAGCATTGTAGTAGGAATACATACTGGAGTTGTTTTTAAGATGCAATCAAAGATTACTTGAAAACAGGCTTTATATACATTATATATATATATATATATATAATTGTTTTTATTTTATTTAATTTTTTTAAGGCAATTATTTAAAGGCAATAATCCTTTTCATTTCTCACTCCAGCGTTGCCGCGGGTCTCCGATCCAGCGCGGCCTCCTCTGAGCTTGCATGCACTTCCTGTCCCACGCTGCCTGCATGCAGGTGCACGTGTCCATAGACTTACCTTGAGTCTCCCCACGCGTCCCGGCCGAAAATGTGAACTGCGCATGCGCCTGCTCCAAGAATTTTCACATTTTCGGACGGGAGCGCGCGGGGAAGTATTAACCCTTTTAAAAAAGTTTTTTGGGGTTTGTTTTTTAATACTTTTTGCATATATCTACTGCTTGCTAGCAGTAGATGTATGAAAAAAACACAGAGGGTTTAATAACCCTTTAATGGATTTACTCTTCCTTCCAGTTCTGTCTGATAGTGAGCAGACAGCATGAAAAACATGTTTTCTAGAAGAGTGGAGAAGGGTAAGACCTTGTTCTTGATTTTATTGCAGTTTGTGTCCTAATGAGAGAGTTTTCCATTAATTTCCTGCGGTGATTGGTGACAGACAGTAAAGGAAGTGAGGTGAATTCTCCTTTAACAGGGACACAGACGGCATAAATCTGTTCCAACCCTTTTCCATTCTATATAAAAAAAAAAAAAACAGTCTTGGCTGGGGATAGGGTTGAAGTCAAAACAGTGCCAAGCTCCCCCCTATGTGACCATAAATCTTCAGAAAAGATTGCAAATAATGGCAATACATTCAGAAGCTTCTCATGAAATTACTGCATTTCAATGCAAAGCTCAAACAATTTTGAGATAACATTTGTTGCAAGCCAACTCCACACAGTCAGAAACAACTGAATCAGTAAGGGCCAACATCCCTGTGGAAACATCTTGTTGAGTCATTGTACATCTGCTATAAAATCTTGCATCACATTCTGAAAAGTAGACTCATAAAATTACTGGCAGACTAAGAAATTGTCTTTTAATGCAGAACTAAAAATAACAGGTTGTTTTTTTGGGGGGGAGAAGAGACTCTTCTGCAAATAACTGCTTTATCATTTTGCTAATCACATTCTTATGTACACTCCCACCTTTCCTGGCATCTGTAAAATGCAGAGAATGGGCCATGTACCTCAAATAGCAGGAGAAAAAGACTGGAAGAAGATGTCAGTGGTTATAAACAGACTAACAAGGGGAAGCACAGACCTTGCGTTGCTGGAAGAGGGCACACTAGACGGCAAGTGTGCCATAATGTGAAAAATAATTATGGCAAGAGCTCCAGGGAACTGCAGCAATTTTATCTGTAAAAATTAAGTCAAGGCAACTGGACTTGCTGTCAAGCGCAGATGCCTTGACCTCATTTTTACAGATATACCATGACCTGGATGAATGAGAACCTTCACAGACATGCAGCAATTTTAGTTCCGCTATAAAAATACATTAGAATTTGGAGGGAATGGATCTCAGCTGTTATTGAAGCAAAACATATACCATATTATTGATTTTAAAACGAGGTGCACCGAAATAGAAATGTAAAAATCGAAACCGATATAAAAAAAATTGTCTATTGTTTATTTTTTTATAAACTTTTATAAACTTTTAAAAAAAATTATATTTCTTTTTATTTATTTATTAAATATACAAATTTCCCTTTAAACCAAAACCTGTGCTTTGGCCATGCAAGCCAAAAAAATAGGTTCACATCACTGCCACCAAGCTAAAATAACCTATTCATCTTGCCTTCCCTACCCCCATAATCTTTTCCACCATTACGAGTGCAAAAAAACCCCAGTTCTTCTGGGTATGGGGGAGCAAGTCACTCACACCCTTCCTCTCATGTGGCACCACTGGTGCTTTGTGATTGGCCCAGGGCTGTCACAGAGTACACTCCTCACTCCTGCGTAAGCTCTGACCAGAGCAACTTGTGAGCTTATACAGGGCTTCCTTTCCTCACAACATTGGTGAGTTTTTCTGCTACTGAATTTTCTGAATCTGTTGCTTTAGCCTTGATGGGCAAAGCACAGGTTTGCTTTCAGGGCTAAACTAAATGAGTCATTTAAAACTCATGATATTGATGCAAATAAAAGAACGCATTTAGCCGTTTTAAATTGCAAATCAAAAATTAAACTTGCATCACCAATCAATATGCTGAAAAGCAGCTAATTGCCAACAAGAGGTTAAAATGCTCATCAGCATTAGATTAAATTTCCCATACGCAGCCCTAAAATTAATGCAACAACCGTGAAATAAATTCGAAAGCATTTGCATACAGTCGCAACATATTTCATTTATAAACATTTATTCCTTGTTCTCAAACAATGCCAATTCCCTAGTGAGCGCTTGATGTTAGGCAGTATCATGGGAAGATTCACTTGTTGCTGTGAAACAGCTACCTAGTTAATGATGTTCTTAATGAAAATAATGCAAACAAAAAAAGGGCTCCAAACTCAAGGCGCTCCAGCTGCTGGAAAACGGAGGATTATGGGAGATTAGTTTCAGCTAAGAGCTATTGAATGCAGAGCATAAGCTTCCATATGTACTTACGAAACAAACTTTCCAACTTCTACTTGGAGTACTGGATCCCTTAACTGAACCTCAAGCAACAAATCTTCCGCCTGAATGGTATCACCAGCTTTCAGAGGATGAGGAGAGAATATACGGAGGTATCCACTGTAACTACCAACAATGATTTTGTCTAGGGAAACAAAAATATATATATATATTTTTTATTTGCTGCAAAAAGAATGTGTTATTAGAGCAGAAAGGAAATAGGAAATTTTAATTTTCCAAATGCTGCTTGTAATTTTTTTAAATTTGTCACTTTGAGTACCCCTTTCAGAATTTTACATACACAAACTGCAATCAGAATAACTATTGCAGATATGGATACCAATAAAGAGACTCCTTAAAGAGACTCCTTAAAGAGACTCCTTAAAGAGACTCCTTAAAGAGACTCCGGGGGATGGGGAAGGGCAGGGGGTAAACTGCTGCAGGTATCAGGTACCTTCACATGTTTCCCAAACATTCCTGCCTTGGTCAATTGTCAGCCCATTCTGACAGGCAGAGCTTAGACACTTCCAGCTAAAGTTGGAGCTTACTGCTAACTGCACCCTCACACAGTTCTACTGGCCCGTCACTATGATGGACAGCCTAACTTACCAACAGGAAAGCACAGGAAACAGGAAGGAGTGGGCAAGCTTCAACACTAACAGAAAGTACCAAAGCTTTTCCGGTTAAGACATTTTTTTTAGGGTCATGCCATATTTTACTTTTGGGTAAAAGAGAACCTGCACAAATGTGAAAACACACGAAACATAGAAAGATAGAGTGCTACTTAGATATAGGCCAAGGACTGCAAGGCACCAACATTAGCAACTGTGCTTACAATTACACATACTAAACCTGGCCATACACTATACCAATTTAAGCCAGTTCTTGATGAACCGGCTGAAATTCGCACAGCAGCCACCTTTTCGGCCGGCATCGCTCATTCAGTTGATCGAAGGAGCCGCTCGGGTAAACATTGACTGAACAGAACCGTCAGCCAATGAGCAGCCACCTCTGTTTGGATATTCTGACAGTGGCCGCCGACAGAATACAATGCAAACAGCTGGAAATTCCTTGATCCATGCTCATAACCGTTGATGGAGGAATCAAAGAAAATATTACAATGTATGGCCAGCTTTATTTCATAAAAAAAGGCTAATTCCCCAAAGCTTTACACAAGTCAAATGCACTCTAATTGCAGCCATGTCATTGTAACTTTCTATTCTCATTGGACTCAACTAAAAACAACTGTCACATTTTTGATAAGAATCCCTATCCTGGTGTGTTAGCTTTGCAAATTGAGCCTTATGAATAAAGAAAGCAGCATTCTTTACCAAAAGAACTGAGAAAGTAAAAGGAGCTTGGGGTGGCATATAACTGAGCTCCATTGCTAAACCTCCAAGCTGGATTCTACTAGGGAAGTTCAGCTACCAAGTACCGTACTCGGTACAAGTACATGTACCTATACTTTTCCAACTCCAAGACTAGACTAGACTAGACTAGAGAAAAATTCAAAAGTTAGGAGGCAGCTGTCATTTTTTAACCGATACCATGTTTTCAAGTACAAGTACTGATACATTTTTGTTTATTGTCATGTGAGTTTTTCTAAAACATTACAGACTAATGATTTCAGGACAGTGGTGGAGCGCCAGAGCCAGGTCCCAGCTGCAACCACTGCATCCCTGGTAGTTCTCATGAAAATGCCGAGAATCGGCACTGGTATCTGAACATCCCTAGATTCTACTATGATGTGCTGTAAAGTAGCGAGGGATGAGTAAAGTCTGAAAGCCAGATAGCCATAAACTGTTAAAAGCAAGGCCAACCATAGTTAACATTTTGGCAGATTCACAGGCTCCACAAACTTGAAAGGAGTTGGCAGAAACTTGTCAGCCAAACAGCGACCGCAGCCACTGTCTAGCTGCAGTCACTCATTAAGTATTCTGACATCCAGCTGTCGGACTACAATAGCCCAAACAAAAGCAAAAATGAGATGTTGGATATAGATTTTCAAAGGATCAATTAAATCATCACTGGTCACACTAGTTCCGATTAAGCAGCACTTCAAAGAATGGGGATAACCCCTAAAAAAGGGGGGCACCCAGAGGCCACGCATATACCATCTAATTAGAGCGACCAAACAAACATCCAAGAGTCAACATTTTTTGATTATGTAATTGGTTGACAGTGGAAAAACAGCCAACGGGTTTCGGGGACCACACAAGCTCTCCCTTTATCAGGGCTCAGGAATTTTAAATGTTCTTGAATGGACTTAGATAGGCAGATACCAGATGGATCTGAGGTTTTCTGCTTGAAAAGAGGCAAGTTATACCAGGGTTAACGGATGTAGAATACAATAGCCAGCAGGGGAAATTCCCCCATCCATGCCGTTTACCATGGATTAGGAAATTGAGCCGGCTCGTCTATTTTCTGTGTATATAGTGCGTCCTGAGGTCAGGAGCTTCTATCCTGGTGTGTTAGCTTTGCAAATTGAGCCTTATGAATAAAGAAAGCAGCATTCTTTACCAAAAGAACTGAGAAAGTAAAAGGAGCTTGGGGTGGCATATAACTGAGCTCCATTGCTAAACCTCCAAGCTGGATTCTACTAGGGAAGTTCAGCTACCAAGTACCGTACTCGGTACAAGTACATGTACCTATACTTTTCCAACTCCAAGACTAGACTAGACTAGACTAGAGAAAAATTCAAAAGTTAGGAGGCAGCTGTCATTTTTTAACCGATACCATGTTTTCAAGTACAAGTACTGATACATTTTTGTTTATTGTCATGTGAGTTTTTCTAAAACATTACAGACTAATGATTTCAGGACAGTGGTGGAGCGCCAGAGCCAGGTCCCAGCTGCAACCACTGCATCCCTGGTAGTTCTCATGAAAATGCCGAGAATCGGCACTGGTATCTGAACATCCCTAGATTCTACTATGATGTGCTGTAAAGTAGCGAGGGATGAGTAAAGTCTGAAAGCCAGATAGCCATAAACTGTTAAAAGCAAGGCCAACCATAGTTAACATTTTGGCAGATTCACAGGCTCCACAAACTTGAAAGGAGTTGGCAGAAACTTGTCAGCCAAACAGCGACCGCAGCCACTGTCTAGCTGCAGTCACTCATTAAGTATTCTGACATCCAGCTGTCGGACTACAATAGCCCAAACAAAAGCAAAAATGAGATGTTGGATATAGATTTTCAAAGGATCAATTAAATCATCACTGGTCACACTAGTTCCGATTAAGCAGCACTTCAAAGAATGGGGATAACCCCTAAAAAAGGGGGGCACCCAGAGGCCACGCATATACCATCTAATTAGAGCGACCAAACAAACATCCAAGAGTCAACATTTTTTGATTATGTAATTGGTTGACAGTGGAAAAACAGCCAACGGGTTTCGGGGACCACACAAGCTCTCCCTTTATCAGGGCTCAGGAATTTTAAATGTTCTTGAATGGACTTAGATAGGCAGATACCAGATGGATCTGAGGTTTTCTGCTTGAAAAGAGGCAAGTTATACCAGGGTTAACGGATGTAGAATACAATAGCCAGCAGGGGAAATTCCCCCATCCATGCCGTTTACCATGGATTAGGAAATTGAGCCGGCTCGTCTATTTTCTGTGTATATAGTGCGTCCTGAGGTCAGGAGCTTCACAGAAAAAAAAAAATGTTATATATATATATATATTGAACATTTTATGAAAGATTAAACAAATTACATGACAAGTAGTCATATTAAATAAAGATGTGGTTACCTTGACCTGACCCACTGTTGTCAACATCAGCCACTGACAGACATCCTTGGTCAAACTCTTCATTTTCTCCCAGTGACCCGGACCACCAATCTCGAGCTTTAAACAGTGACATGTTTGCACTCTCTAGAAAGTAAAACATAGATTACAAAGCTGAAAGAAGAGGACAAGAACAACTTCTTCTACACACAGCTAACTGACAGCAAACCCGGAATTATTCCGTATGTAAGAAATTAAAGATTTCAGTTTGGGAGCATTGTTTTCATGTGTCTTAGCCCTCGTTCACACCTAGGTGTATTGCATTAGCGTGTCTGTCGCGTGACCGTTGCGCGTTTTTTTTACCGCGATTCGCTACTTGGCTGTATCCCAATAAAAACACGCAAACAAAACGGCCCAAAGTAGTACCTGGACCTTTTCAGGCGTGGGCCGTTTTGTAGCGCGTTAGGGACGGGCGGAAATACGCCAAGGTGGGAACGAGACCATTGACTACAATGCAATTTATATTTTTGACCGTTTTGTAGAGCGTTCGTCGAGCGTAGAACGCGCTACAAAACGGTCAGGTGTGAACGAGGGCTTAGTCTTAGCCTGAGTGGCCCCTCGTTGCAATGTGACAAGATGTGTGTATCAATAAAATGATCACTTTCTGAAGATTTGAACACGGTGTACTGGTGATATATTTTACTACTTTAATCTAAAAACGGTGAACCCGTTTATTATGAAATGCTGTCTTTGCATACAAAGGTTTTGTAGATTTCAGGTCCAGGAGTAAGCTACTAATCAGCAAGGAATATTGACACCACAAAGGAAGCAAAGCCAGCGGGCCAGCCATTTTGAACAACTTATCATTAAGATCCATCCAGGTCCTGAAATGCAGCTTTAGCCGCAGAAGTCCAATAAAATCAAAGCTGAAGTTCAGGCAAACTGCTGAAAACACAATTAAAATTAAAGGAGAACTATGAGGCTAGTGCTTTTCACTCACCTCATAGTTCTAGCCGACCTGTGACAATGAGACTGTCACAGGTCGGCTCAGTAGATCGGGAAGTGAGCGAACACATACCGGCGTTCGCTCACTTCTCGATCCTGGATTCGGCTGGATTCCCCCCGCTCCGATCCTCCAGCACTGACTGGCGGGACGGACGGGGCGGGTACAGCTGGCTCTGCCTCCTGATAGGCAGAGCCAGATGTCACTCACTCAGCTGGGCGGATCCAGACATAATTGTCGGGATCCGCTTCAGCTGCGGCGTCTTAGTATACCGCAAGCTGTTGCTCGCGGTATACTGCGGCGTCTCAGTATACCGCACGCTGTTGCTCGCAGTATACTGAGCTTAGGGTGACAGGAGGACGCTAGCTTGTGTCCTCCCGATACCCTAAGGAGAACTATGGGGAAAAGCCCTAACCCTATAGTTCTCCTTTAATACAAGGGAGCTGTTTTATATGTCAAAGGATTTCACAGTAAGCTTTCCTTATTGGCACCGCTCCATCACGGCTTCCATTCATCAGATGGGGAACACCGGGTGCCTGCTAATGGAGCCTGCCCTCGCTCTAATACTCAACAGTCCCAAGATGAAAGGCGGCCACACAGCTATGACGTCAATTTGTATAAAAACTTTTTTCCAGTTCCATCTATGCCACCCAGTCCTGCCTCTAATCTACCCTTCTCCTGCGCGTTTCACCATTATGGGCTTAGTCGTAGTGATACTTGCGGTCTAGGAGCGAAAAGCTTTATTCCTCAGATATTTACAATATGTTTTTAATTAAAAGGGACATCGAAAAAAGTTTTTAACCATTTAGAATACCATTGGCATATTCAAGATGGTAATCTACATGTACGTATACCTGTGCCTTCTTCATCAATTAAATCCAAAACATAAAAAAAAAAAAAACTCATCAAAATCATCATGGGAGGCCATTTAACAATTAGCATGAGAATGTAAATGTCTAGACTCCTAATCCCAATTTACATACATATAGTATACTGTACTTCACACTAACCCTCCTAAATTGCTAAAACTAACCTTTATTGAACTTTTATTAAAATCATGTACCTAATACATGCAACCAATCACAAAATGAATACACACTAATTCATAAGAATAAGATTCTACCTATTACTCCAACCTTAAAAACTAACAACAGCATAGATGGAGCTGGAATAAAGTTTTTTTTTATACAAAGTGACATCGATTTTTATCTTGGGACTATCAAAATATTTGTAATTCTGTCCAACCAGTCCTGGAATTAGGCAGCCCTGCTAGAGAGCACAGCCAAGTTGGTGACCTGCTTTTTCTCTACTGCAGTTAAAGCTGTCCATATACATATAGATTTTTTTTGTTCATAAAAAAATGAATTTTTTTTATGAACGAATTTCCCCTGCTGGGCTATTGTATTCCGACAAGTGCCTGAGACTGTCAGAATAACTGAACAGTGTCTGCAGATAATTGACAGTCACTGTTCGACCAACAAATTTCTACCCAGCTCCTTTGAATAATCAACTTCTGTCAAGCCGAGTGGCGTTAGCGGGGCCATACACGGCTCATATTTCATCCAAGTCCTGCAGACTTGAACATTTGGCAGTGTATGACCAACTTGAGCAATACAGATTGATCACGAGTTAGCTGTCAAAGTCTGTAACTCCATTAGTACTGCACACAGAAGAATGGGATAAAAAGCCACACATGCTGCGGGAGTCAGGGGACCGAGCTGTGAAAAATAATACAAGGTGAGACTTCTTCTTTAAGACATACCTGCATTAGATAGTATGGGGGGAATTGATCAAAACTGGAGCAAACTGATTCTGGACCAGTTGCCTGTAGCAACCAATCAGCATCTCTCTTCAGTTTGCTCAGATAAGATTTCGAAATGAGAGAGAGAAGCTGATTGGCTGCAGTGCAAATCTGCTCCAGATTTTGTCTGCTCCAGTTTTAATAAATCCCCCTCTATGTGTTTCTAGTCACCTAGGGTTAAATGTTAATGCTTATCCCAGGCTACTACACTGTCACTAAGGGAAGAAAAGACAAGCAGATCCGAACCCTCCCATAAGCAATCCATGCACATTTCTCCATGTTTTATCCCTTTAAAAATGCTGCATGTACAGATATAAAATCCTCCTGGTAACCTGTAAATCCAGTGTGCTCCTTTTTTGAGCTGACAACACAGTGCCTCTGCTGTTCTGATATGCCAAGCAATGTTGTCATTTTGGAGTCCAGATAACTTAGGCAGGGCTGATAACACTGCTTGGTAATTCAGTACAGCGCAGGCAAAGTCAGCCCCAACAGCAAGTTAGGTGCATCAACAACAGGTATTTTTCTATACTGCAGTGTTTCAAAAGAGACAAAACAAAGGAACCTGTGCATGCATAGTCACGGAATCTGTTTTAGAGGTTTTTTTCGGCTTAGGGCCAGTTCACACCAGTCGCTGCGCTAAACGTACAGCAGTTGGTGTGCAATGCCCGACACACTGCCATTGCACCCGGCACATCGCACTGCATATTTCTTTTTTTTTTATGGTAGAACTTTATTGAAATGCCACCAGTGCTATTTCATTCAGCTTTACAAGCACAGCGGTGTGCAAGGCGGTTGTTCTGCGTCGAAACTCGCTGCGCTGAAAAAAAAGAAGTAAAGCATGCAATACTTTTGGGGGGCGTGGCAGTGCCATTGAAGTCAATGGTACTGCAGACACGCCCCCCACCCGCAGTACGATCAGCCGTGCAGGAACGCATGGTAACAAAATGCCCTGCGTTCCAGTGCAGTGGGATCACACAAAAATCATGCCATTGACTTGAATGACACCCCCCCCACCCACCCCAGAACGCAAGGAGACTTTACATATGCGATGCCTTGCATCCCCTAGCGCACAGTACATTGCGGTAGACGTGTGGGCTGGTGCAAACAAGCCCTAACCCAATATCTTAGGCCGTGGTCACACCAGGGCGGTTTGGCCGCGCAAATCCACCAACATGAACAATCCCATACATTGCTATGGGGACTGTTCATGCGACCGCGCAGATCAGTAAGGTCCGAACTGCCCCCGCCCAATTTGCTCCCTGACCGTTTTTTGCCGCGCTGATCAGTGCGGTTTTGGCCATTTTTTATTGCGTTTCAGCGGTGAAACTCTATGAAAAACTCCCAAAACCTCCCTTTTGAAATCAGCGCGGAAACAGCGCTGATCCACAGCCGCTCTGGTGTGAATGGGCTCTTAGGCACACTTATTTCTTTAGAAAGCATCCACTCTACCTCCAGACACGTCTCACCCATATCTGACCCTGTGAGCGCTGTTCATGCACGTGCCCCACCCAATGTCAAACACTATCAAAGCCCCAGAAACTGTGAAATCATTTGCGTCAGCAGCCAGTGCTGGAGTGGAAATGATGAAGAGGGTGGAATATAAAGAAGGATTAGGAGTAAATACAATAAATGCTCAAACAAGCCATTGTTCAGGATCACATATGGCCTTAACGGACTAATCCTAATGTTGTGAATTATTTATAAACCAGTGACAATTGTGCTGGCTGTCATCGGGTAATACACAGCATCCCTGGCAACAAATGGTTAAAGCGAGTCAGGAATGTCCTTGCATGCAAGGGAGGGATCTGAATACTCCTACTAGTAGCATAACAATAATCTACTTAAGGCTGCTGAACATGTCAGCCATAGGAGCAATCCTCTTTACAACTGTCACCGTCTGCTGTCAAAGAGGGAAGAAAGATGGCACTTCTAATCACCGGAGAGGAAACACTTCACAGCTTCATAGGACACAAACAATGTTTAATAAAAGAATATGAGTAATACTGGGCGACAGGTACTATATTAATATTCAGCTTGACTCACTTGACTTGCCTAAGCTGCAATACAGTTTATGAAATACTAAAACGGGCAAATCCAGCATATTGATCACATTTATTAATGTTAAAATAGAACCAAATGCAAACCTTTTGTTGGCTTTAGTCCTCGTTTTGCGCAAAGGAATATATTTACTAATGTACTCCAAACCCAGCAAATAGCAGAGCCATGGTATGGTCAGGATCCACCCAGCTGCCTGATTGACAGCTGGCTCTGCCTCTCTAGAGCCAAAGCCAGCTGTGCCTGCCCCCTTCCCTGTCTGTTCCTCCAGGAGGAACAGAGAGGGGAGAGGGAAACCCTGTGGAGAGTGGAGACTGACAGTCACCACTCTCAGCATGAAGGAGAAGTGAGCTGAGCAATCACCAAATGGTAATCACTCAGCTCTTGATCTATAGAGCCAGAGTGTGACAGCAGTATGGAGCTATGCTACGTGAATGGGAACATATAACAAATATAACATAGGTGTTATCCCAGTGTGGATGCAAAAGTGGAAATACACTTTAAGCATTAGGGAAACTTTAGCTTTTTAATGTACTATTGCCTGGCCTTGTCACAAAACTATTGCTGAACTGTAATTCTGTCAATGACACGTGGGGGCTTGAGATGGAAGGAGGCTGTGCTTTTTTTTTATTTTTTACTTACCTGCTGGGGTGTAAAAGTTTACATGCACTTTCACAATTTTCTGACTGTCCCTCTCTGCCATCAATGTCCAATACACACCTGCTCACTGCCTGGTCTGCCCATGGTTTGGCAGCATTATATCCACTAATGTTGGGCAGGTGCTGGGCCCAGTCATGGAGAATAATGGAGGTTGTTGGTTGGGCACCATTGATAACAATTATATTTCATAGCTAGGCCTAGTGCATTTCCTGGCCTGCATTACATATGAAGAAGCAGTGCAAGGAACAGGGGTATGGATTTGAGGGGAACAAGTAAAGTAGGACTAAAAAATATTAAGGAACAACTCCAGGTTAAAATGTTATTAACCCTTGCAGTGGGGCTACCCCTACACTGCACGGGTTAAGTGCTTGTTTTTGTCTAAAAATAACAAAGTCTTACTAATCTGATCCTCTGAGCGGGTCAGCTGTCACAGAGCTCCCTCCAGCCTGGCTCCTCCTCCACTGCAGCGATGGAATGTTCTCACGCCCAATACACTGTGAATAGAACGTGATCACTCAGGGACTTTAGACCGCTGCAGCGGAGGAGGGGGGACCGGTCTAAGAACAAGCTCTCCTAGAGGATCGGGTGAGCATAACTGTTTTATTGAGCACTTAACCCTTGCACAAAAATAAGCACTTAACCCTCCGAGGGGGGCAAGGGCTAATAACATTTTTACCCAGAGTTCTGCTTAAAAAAGGGTAGGTATACTCAATACAGTTCCTCGGGGGTGGCCACAATCTACTTCACTCCTCAGGTGGCAGGTGGGTTGCACATAAATACAAATACAAAAATACATCCTCCCATAACAGAAACAGACATCAGTGCTTTGGAAGAGGTACTCCTTTATAACAGCCCTTCTCCTATAGAAGTCACCAACAAAGCTAAGGTGCTCAAGGGCTGGAATTAGTCATTCTGAGACCTGCAAGATTGCGACACCTGCAGCCATTGAGGGACAAGCATTCATGCCTGGCTGCCTTTGTGGGGAGGGGCATTGCTCTATTTATTACAAAAAAAATAAAATAATAATATTATTAGGGCTGACCTCTGGGTTTCTTTCGATTTGGGAATAATGGCGGAAGATTGACTCCTCAGAAACAGGTTCTTCCATCAAGGACTGGAGACACTAAGCAACAGACACAGACTCGGCAGCTGAAAGCTAAGAGGCCACTAAGACTGCGGTCAGATCAGATAGAGGTTCTGCAGGGGAAGGCATGAAAGCGTGTTTATGGCGTCTGCGGTCAGCACTCATTAGTGCTATTTGGCCCATAAAATCCAGCATGACGGCAGGGAAAAACACTTGCTATAAAAGATGGAGGAGGCGGCAGTGCCCAGCGGAGTTAGGGATGACACAGAAGATGGCATAGACTCTTAACAACAGGCAAAGTTCCAGGCCGCCGGGCACCTCAGGAAGCCCACTGCAGACAGCATCGGAAACATTAGTGAAGGGTGAGCTTCAGACACCGTGGAAAGTGAGACTGACCCCTATGTTTAGAATCCGACATGTTGCACCACAAGGTAGCAGAACCAATGAGCCTATATCACGTATGATCCACTGTCAGAAGCACTTACCACTGTTGATGAGAATAAAGCAGAAAAAGCAGCGATTCAGTGGCACTTGGTTACAGCAGGGAAAAAGCCCACATGGGTTATGTAGAACCCGACATTGTGTTCTCAATACTTATCCAAGATATTTCTAAACAAAAGAAAAAAGTAACAATATTATTATACAAATTAATACACATGTAAATATTATAGTCATATACTATACAAGTAATAAATCATACAATGGAGTGGAAGGGGCAGCACTGTGAACCAGTCAGGCTTTGCTACATACAAATATGCTGACAAGGAACATGCTGGAAGGAGGAGAAACCAAAGTGAGCAGAGATGACCTCATCAGTCTCCTACTGCTCTTTTACTGTCCAATCAGCAGGATTGATCGAGGACATCATTCTATCTCTCAACAACTAGACTGGACATGGATCAAGGACGTCATTGTATCCCTTCAACATCTACAACTGTAACAGAGAAAGTAGAGTCACCCACCTATCTGTGCTGATATTGCATATACTGTGCATTTTTCATGCAGTTCCATTTATCTCTATGGCAAGGTCTTCTTGTCAAAATGCAGCAAAAATGCAGGTTCATGTGTATTCAGCTACACAAAAAATACATAGGAATCTAATGGTAAAAACCCAATGGAATCCTCAGTTTAAATCAGCCACATACATTCCAGGAGCGTCATAACAAAAGGTGTGCAAAGTATTACATTGCGTTTTCTTTAAAAAGCAGCATCTGTTTGATTAAAGAACATTTTTCGTCCAGCATGCTTCAGAGTGGGATCCTTGATCACTATGTTGAAGCAGTGGTCTCTCTGTAGAGGTCCAACAGGCCCCTTACTGAGTCAGACCTTTAGCTCTGCAATCAGGAAAGCTCATGCTCCCCGATGATTGGAAAGTTCTGGATCCGACTCCCGCTCATCAAGTAGCAGGAGCTTTGCTGATTGCACAGCTACAGGTCTGACTCAGAATTGTGCATGTCGGGCCTGTGCAGGGACACTGCTGCTTCCCCACAGAAAACAAGAGCCCCACTCTGCAGCATTCTGGCAGGGGTTTCTAGGTGGTGGCTACTTCATAAAGAAAACAAACTGTAAAGCTGGCCATACACCTATAGATTTTCTGCAGATTTTCTATGGTCAGATGGAACAAGTGCAACAGATTCCTCCATCTACACTAAACTGTGTGGATGGAGTAATCTCCACCTGAACAATCTGATTGGATGCAGGCATTGTTTAGCTATTTTGAGAGCCAGAGGGACCGACTAGCAAGATACTGAAGTTTGGCCCAGCGGGAGTTTCCTCCATCCACGCAGTTTAGTGTAGATGGAGGAATCTGTTGAATGTTTTCCATTTGACCACAGAAAATCTGCAGATAATCTATAGGTGTATGGTAAGCATTAGGCTTTGCACGCCTTTTGTAATGATGCACCTGGAATATATGTAGCTGATATAAACTGACAGTTTAGTTGGGCTTAAAGTGACACTAAACTCTAAAAGTGACACTAAAAGGAGTTACATCTTAAAAATACACTCAAGTACCTTATTTGTGTATCACTCGGCTGTATTATCTCAAATCATCTCTGAATTGATGCTGACACTGTCCTTCCTTCTGGAGGGTGGCTACTTTTGTTCCCCATGGTCCCTGTGTGTGTCGTAAAGTAGCCACCGCTCCAAGCTTACTACTGTGATGGACTATAACTTCAATACAAATTAGTTAACTTAACGTGCGATTGTATTCCATCACGGGAGTGAGCTTGGAGTGGTGGCTACTTTACAGCACACAGGAACCATGGGGAAGAAAAGTAGCCACCCTCCGGAAGGAAGGACAGTGTCAGCACCAATTCAGAGATGATTTAAGGATCTACAGCCGAGTGCTACACAAATAATGTACAGTACTGTTAATAGTTATGTACTAGATTTAACTGAGTTTTGTGTCATTTTAAGGGCTGACTTACATTATTATACAGGATGTATATAGCGCTAACAGTTTGCGCAGCGTTTTGCAATAAAAGGAAGACATTACAATACAATTCAAGACAAGATGGTACATCTATGCATTGCGGGAACACATCTTACCACAGCACATGCAATGCATATTACACGTTGCAGTGCCATTAATTTTGAATAGCACCCCAACACCCTAAGGCAATGCATGATTTACAACCCATGGTGCCTCGCAGCAAAACGTTTGTGACATGTCTGATATTGTGGACATTTTGGTGCGTCAGAAAACCATTGATTTCAATGGGCTTCCTTAATTGCGCACGTATTAATGCAAGTGCGTTACTGCAGCTCACAAATTTAAATGGGCCCCTAATGTAAACTAAACAAGTCCAAACAGAAAGTCACTTGCACTCCAATGCAATGCCAAGTCAATCATTGCATTGGCATTGCATTGGAGTGTGAGTGACCTTCTGTTTGGACTTGTGTTTTGCGGAGTCATCTTCTGTCACCACCGCACCCGCCCTGTTTTACCAGGGCTTCCATCTGGTCATGAGTGCGATGGGATACAGGTAATGTAAACTAAACAACGCACACGTTGTGTAGCTGCTCTAATCTTAATGATTCCCAGAAACCCAGTCAACTGACAAGGAGCTGCATCAGCTAAATGTACACATAGAGATCACAGTAATCCACTGCTTACCATGTCCACAAAGCACCTTGACTATCATTATCATTGATGTATAGATACGCACACAACATACGACAGGTACCAACATTCTACAATCATCCACAGAAGACTTCTGATGTAAACTGATGTTTATTTTAGAAATCAGAGTACTATCCCCCCCATCCTGTACCTGTGTACACACCTGGGATGTACTACCCATTTATTCCTATTGAATTCAGCTCTTTGATACCCCAGGGAACATCAAAGCTTGGGATGAACTGACTCTTATTAGGTATAAATTGTGTGTACTGGAAGCCAGGGACAGGAAAGTATAATGACAACAAGAGACTGTCAGTGTGGGGTGAGGGTCAGCTGACATCTATATACAGGAGGAGGATCAGGCGTGTATATAAAGAGTACAATCACCTACCTGCTGGCCCATGTCAGGCTGTACGGTACAGCATACCTATTGTCACCCACAGACTCAGTGTCCAACTGTCCATTCACAGACAAGCTGATGACGTCACGCTGACAAACCAACCCCCCCCCTTTCCTCATTCAACCAATCAAAGGTGCCGCATCTCTCCGCTCGTTCTACCCAGTTTAGCGCTCAGCACCATATATCCAGACAAGACACGCAGCCCCTCACTTCCTTCACAAGCCGGACACCCACAATATCATGCATGAGCTACCCAGGGCAGGCACCCCGCGCTCCACCCACCTCCATCAGCTGGTTACACAGAGTAGCCCCTCTGCGTTCCACGACTGCCCAGCTACTTCCCGTTGCCATAGTTACGCGCATGCGCAGATTAAAAGAAAGCAAAAACTCGAGGAGAACGGAGGACATTTTCTTGTAGCACTGTGTAGCTCGTGTTGTGAGCTAGAGAGTGTAGTTCAAAAGCCTGCACGATTAAATCTGTCCGCAAGGAATAGTGGCGGTCATTTTGTTGTAGCTCCGAGGAGGAGGAGGAGGAGGAGGCAGGGAGCTGTAGTAGTGCCACAATCCTCCTGGTGTGGGTGTTACTGAAGACTAGCTGCACAGTGATCAGGAGGTAATGGTTTTTTTCTGATTATTATCCCGAGGGGTTTACATTAGGAAGAGAGTATGGTTCTGGCACTCTGTATGGGGGTCATGTGACCTTGCGAGTCGGGTCAGGATGCTGGGCTGTAGCGCTGCACATAGGCAGGGAATGGACTTGTGCAAGCTTTGATCATCTGAGCTCGGCTTGGACGGACTGTTATATGGCATGTGTTCATTCGTCCATCTCATTTTTACTATGTACTGTTATGCTGATTCTTGCATATGACTATTTTTCATATATGAACTGATCTTCAATGGTGGTTCACTGAAGATATATCTATGAGATCTGCTTTGCTCTTGATATGAATTGTGCTTAAAGAGACTTGATTAAGATTCAAAAGCAACAAGACTGTAATGCTGAACACCCGGCAAACAACTAAATCCTGACCGGGAATTCTTTTACCTGCCAAAGGATTTGTGTTTGTTTCTGTCCATCTAGTTCTGAGATTGGCACAGCTAGGTGGGTGACACCACTTTCAGCTGCAAACTGTAGAAGGGATACAATGGTGTCAGTGGCATTGGACCAATCAGTTGCAGCAGGGGCATTACCCACAGCTACACACCACAAATGGGTGGGGGATCCCCCTGCCACAACTGATTGGGACTGGAGGAGGGGGTGTCAGTCAGTTTTGCACAGGCTTAAGCAAACTGGGTTCTCACCAAGCCCCTGCCCATGATTAGTGGTACCCGCTCTCCAACCCCAGCATGCTGATTGGACAGAGAAAGAGAGCAGGAAACGGAGAGTTAGGCATACAGGCGTAGAAAACAAGCAAAATCTGGCTATTCCTCCATCCACACTACTAAACATCATGGATGGTGGAATTTCCACTGATGGCTATTATATTGAGACACCCAGAACCCACAGCTGTCAGAATACCCGAACAGTAACTGCATCTGATAGGATGCAGTCAATGTTAAGCCAACAGTTTACCACCCGGATCCTTCAATTTTCAGATTTCAGTGTATAGAAGATTTGCTGTAGCCAAATAACAGAACAGAGACGGCAGCAAAATCTTCCCTGACCTATTATCTGGTGCTCTTGTATTATTATTATGAGCCATGTTATGTTGTATAGAAATAAAAGAAAAAGAATGGAGATTCTAGCTGTGATGGTTAAAGGCATATTCCACTTTTTGCATGCAATGAAGAAATGCAATGAAATATTGCACAAAAGAAGAAATATGCATGTATTGATTTTTTTGCATTTGAGCCTGCGAAGTGCTGCAACTGCAGACTGATCCTCCAGTTACATACTGAGGTACGGACCTTATGGAGCTGGAGGACGTTATCAATGGAATACAAGTGTAGTGATGTCACTACGCTGGTATTTAATTAAGATCTATGAGTCCTTCTAATGCAGTGCCAGATGGGACATTTTATTTCTCAGATCCCCTGAATGAATGATGCAGCTGTATGGATAAAGCCACAGATTCAGAAATACATAGAAGCTTATGTGGAGAGAAGTGATTTAGGTGAGTGGGGGGGGGGGGTGGTTGAGGATGGGGGGCTGAAGAATGGCACCATGTTCCTAAATATGGGTGCAACCTGAAACATTTTGGTAAAGGTGGAATTGGTCTTCACGTTGTCTCTCTCTCTTTTCAGAAGTTTTGATTTGTAAGTGGTCCATATCATGGCCGTGGAGGGAAGGTCCCGGCTCAGAGATTCACCAAACAAGTCCAGTGAGCAGAGTGGAGTGGTGGATGGTCAAGTGAGGCATCGTCATCGCGGGGTCACTTCCCCTAAAGGGAGGGCCAGGACCCACCACCCAACCGAGACATCCCATCACAGGAATAATAGGGGAGCCAAGGAGCATTTCTTCTCTTACCTCAGCCTAGCCAATGTAAAGGTTGGGCTCAACCTGGTGTTTGGTAAGATCTGCATGTGGCATGGTGTACAGTGTGTTTTATGGTAGTCCTATGCAAGTTTTAGCAATGTCTCCACTTGCAAAAATTGGTCAGCTTTCTCCCCTGTGCACACTGTTATGGATATGTAGCCTTCTTTCTCACTTAATATCTAACGTAACTATTAGTAGAGCAGGGGTGGGCAACTCTGGCCCTCCAGCTATGCTTTTACTACAATCACATCATGTCTCTGCATCTGAGAGTCATGTCTGTGGCTGTCAGTCTTGCAATGCCTCATTGGACTTGTTCAATAGACTTGTTCAATAGACTTGTTCAATAACACATAGAAGGCTCGGAGTTGCCCACACCGTAGTGGATAGTCACATTCAACTGGATTTGGTTTGTAGCGGGAAATACTTTTTAGGACTCATACAAGTTGGTTCCTCAGTTCAGATTTAATAAGCTACTTAGATAAGTGACAAAAATATCTTTAACATTACAGAGTAAGTCCGGTTGAATGTGACTAACTACTACTAGCTATACTCTGACCCGAATATATGAGACCCTCGTACTTTCTAACACGTGTCTGTCTAGGAGATATTGCATCTAGTATATAGGTGGCTTGTGAATGAAGCCATTAAATGGTTCATAAAATGACATTATGTAACTTGGGTGTGCTCATTAAAAATATAAAAATGATTTGGGAGCCCGACAACTAAGACTTTCATATGTCCTGTAACATTCAATTTTGGAATGAATGGAGTTTCCTGAACAAAAACCACATTTACTTTAATTTCATTCTAGAAAAAAATTCCATCCATCTTTTTTTTTTTTTCCGTCAATGTGGTCACAATCGATCATCTATTTGACCCAATTAACTAATGGAAAGTCCAATGACCATTCTCTTTTCAACAAAATTCTTAAGGAAGCTTAAGACGTGGGAGTGGGGAGGGGGGGTGATGGAGAATATCATTTATAGGATAATTGCACTAAAACTACAGTAAGTGGGCTCCTTTACGTTTTCAATGGAACATATGTTTAAACTGGCCATACACTTAACATTCATGACCAGCTCGATTTTATACATTTCTTTTTTTACACTAATCTCTCTGAGCTATATTCAACACTTATAGTTTTCGGTTCCATGACCTAAAAGAAAAAAACTCTTTATTCCCTCAGTCATGCTAACAGCATTAATGGAGGAATCTCTCCGGCTATTGTATTCTAATATTGGCTGCAGTCACTAGTCAGCTGATAATTTTTGGCCCAACTCCATCAATGAAAGTCGAGTGAAAGATCAACTTTTATGAAACGGAGGGGTGCTGTCAGGCCCATACACTGCTTAAATGATGGCCAAGTCAGCAAGACTGTTGTCGCATATGTATTCAAGGTTAGACTTTAGATCTGGTTTAGATATGCAAATAAGCAGATCACTTGTGATACAGAGCTGTGTTACAAATAGTGATGGGCTCGGGCGTGTTCGCAAGCGCCTCTTGCCGGGCCCGCCAGGAAGCCGTCAGCGCGCAGGGCCAATCACAGGCACTGGGACATGTTCCTGGTCCGCAGCTGCAGAGATCGGGAAATGTCTCAGTGCCTGTGATTGCCCCTTCGCGCTGACAGCTTCCCGGCGGGCTCGGCACGAGGCTCTTGCGAACATGCCCGAGCCCATCACTAGTTACAAACAGTTGTAGGGCACACATTAAACATTTGGTGCTGTGTGTATATTGTGGCTGGTCTTCAGTGACAAATTATTCATTGGTCTGTTGGTACTGCTTATTTTTTTAATCTTGCTGTTACGTGATTTGAATGTATTGTTCTTGGACAAGTACAATTTAAATGTAAAAGGTGACTGGATCTGGTTAGTAATGTGTAGAGATAGATTTGTGTACGGAGTGTACAGCTGTGCAAAGCAAACAGAAGAGCTTAGAGGAAGTGACACTGGTATTAACAGTTGGATTCCAGTCAACATGAGTACAATGGTATAGTTGGAAACCACAGGATAGGGTTTGTTTTAAGTGAAAACAAGAAGAACTTATGTTTAAATGTTTTGTAGATCCGGAAATCCAGAATTAAAGTGATTCATCTTTTTTTCAGGTACTCAAACAAAGAAATTGCCTTGTAAGAAACTATGCTACCACAGTCATGTTTTAAATGAATTACAAATCATACATTAAAAATCAGCTTTATAACACGATTGTAGAGGATTACACTTCTCCCTAGCCAATAAAGATGACACACATCCCCTGATAATAAATACATAATTACGTTCTATATGCCTTTGCATTCCACTGTGTTTTAGATCATTAAGAGCTTGTGTATGCCTCGCGCATTGTGATGGTATCACAGGGATCACCAGTTTGTTGTATGTGTAGTACTAGGAGTGTTTGGACACAGTCTGTATATTGGACTATATTTAGATTTGCTATTGATAGCATTTTATAGTTAATAACGCTTATATTTATACTATAACATTTATAATTCTTGTATTTGCACACTGTGTTTATTATGTTTACGAAATTGGTGGTTTTATTTTTATTTTTTCTTCAAAGTTTTAATTTTATATTGAATTTGTGTGACCCTGATGGGTTAGTGTAGGATACTGCCATTCTTGTGACACTATGCATCAAAAAAAGACATTTGCTTGGACACATTTCTCCTATGTGCTGGTGAAATCCTGTTTCCTATACCGATTAGAGCTGTGACATCCGCAATCATTTCAGCACCCATCTCAAGGGGTTACCAGTAAGGAGTGTGGTGGGAAACCCATTGAACCTGATGGATTAGTGCACATCTGTCAATAGATTTAATTGTTTTTCAGTAATTAATTTACTGTCCTTTTTGTGAAATGTTTGGAGTTATATTCGCATTTTCATGCACTTTCGATGGATCTCAGTCCATCTTTATCATGGACTGAGCTCCATCAAAGCGTTGACGATAAAATGCTGATGCTTTGCCTTAATTCTGCTGCAAGACCGTTGAGTGTCTCTATGTCAACTTTGGAGCACCTGGGCATTTACGGTACAAATAGAGTACCATGGCTGTCCTGGGACTATATACATACAGTTAATCTGAAATTTGATATTGATAGCATATATTTCTTCTGAGATGGATGATGTTAATTATTTATGGTAGATCTATACACTTCATGAATTTATGACATTGATGCTTGATTCCAGGTGTAGTAATGCCCCCATGGGATCTGATAGAGGATATTGTTGTTATTGTTTCAATATTATATGGTTTTATTTTTCATTATTGTGCCAATAAGGTAACTTTTTGTGGGATGACATAGTTCATGTGCTCCCTAGTGTTCACAATTATTAATATATATTTAAATTTAGAGGTCCATGGTAATCAGTTTATAGTGTCTTTAAATCCATGTGTCTATTTTGAATGTGTCACTATGTACTCCAGACCAATTTAGAGTTTTTGTAGGCCATTTGATTTTGTGGAATCTTTGCGCAGTGGGGCTGCCCACGCACTGCAAGGGTTAAATGCTCATTTATGTTTAGGGAAAAGGCAGTTTTACTTACCTGATCCCCGCTTCCCCAGAAGACATCACTCTACTCTTCTTCCTCTCTGCTCCGGGTGTAGACTGCCACTCAGTGTACTCCCATACAATGCAGGGTTATGGAATCTGCATTGTACTTGATGAGGTCAGCAATCCATAGAGCGCCGGAGAAGAGGCTGCTTGGACCTAAACGATCAGTCAACCCTTGCAGAGCAGGGGCAGCCCTAATGCAAGGGAAAAACTTTGAATTTCCCTGATGTGGAGCTTTAAAGTGGAAGGGAAGTGATCTGCACAATATACCTGTTTAATGTGTTTATATGGGGTCACATGACCACAAAGCTCAGGCTGGTCCGTCTGTCTATGCCTTCCAAGGCTGGTCCGGCTATCTATGCCTTCCAACAATGCTATTGAATCCCGAAGTGATATCACCCGCTGGCATCCATAGTTGTAAATCATTGTCAGTTGGCAGAATGTTCATGCCTACCAACCTCAACAGCGTCAGAGAAAGGAGACACCAGCAGAGGGTTGTGATCACGTGACCTAATACAATTAATGAGATAATGTTAATTTTATTCAAGCATAGTTTATATTTTGTCTGTGCTAGTTTTCCCTGCAGTTTTAAAGAGATTATATTACTTTGCCCATTTAGGGGCAAAATGCCCTTAAAGCCCCCATCCCTGCTTTGCCAAACAGTAAACCTTATGTAAGGTGATTATGTTTGAGCTTTCACAGGGTTGATGACAACTTTTTCACGTTAGAGTTTTCGGTCCTGGTGTTCGGCTACTCGGGCCCAAGCAAGCATCTTTAGAGGAGGTCACATGCTTCTCCATGCCCAGAAGCAGCAGGCTTTTGTATCGGCTCCATTGAAGCACTGGGGAGCTCTGTGTACATATCACTGTTGGGAATCTCTGGCCTGCTCTGCAACATGAATGTACTGCATACCTGCAACCTTCTACTGTTGGCTTTTTTTTCATTTTGCAATATGCTTACTTTAAAGTGTACTTTGGCTTGTGTCATCTTTTGCAATGTACATGTGCTTCTCATGTTTGATGACTTGTTTGTTCAAGGTTACCAGAGAAATACGCAAAGATTTCCTCATAGTGCACTGAGCAGAAGAATAAAATGAAAGTTCCAGTTGCAAGGTTGTTAATTTTTGTTTTATTTCCCTAAGGCCGGCTCTATACCTCTTGCTTTGCAATAACACATGATTTTAAATGGCACCCATACACACTAAGGAAATGCATGGTAATGCAGTGTGGTTGGTTCCCAAAAAAAGGGTCAGGTATTGTTCCCTGTGTGCCAGGGTGGCATAACGTGCATTAATGTGCTTGTGGTAACACAGTGCAGCACACCACAAAGGTGTGGATTCTTTAATTGAAGTTTATCTGAAGACAAAACCTAGAGAGAGATTTTAATTCCCTTTTTCTTCCATAAGTGCAACAGGAAGTAAGAGGAAACCTCTGCAGGAAGGAAAACCCCTCCATAGCCAGTTTACACTGGAACAGGTCTGCCCATTGGTAGATTTCCCCTTAGTTCCTGTACCAGTGCCAACTGTAACATTTGATTTCCCATCATTTGCCCCTGTGGTAAATTGACGAGGACAAATACCGTGTTTCCCCCGAAAATAAGACACTGTCTTATATTTTTTTTGCCCCAAAAAAACACACTAGGTCTTATTTTCAGGGGATCTTATTTTTTTTTTGGTATGGTAAGCATGAGAATAATATTGTTGCTCTTTCTTACTTTTCCTACTGTCAGTATCGGTAATGCTGATCCCTTTCTTTCACTTTCACAGGCGGAGTGCACCTGGTATCACTCCGACTGTCACAGTAACCGGCGCTTTAGAAGAAGTATCGGCTAATGCGGCTCTGCTCCATCCGCCGCCGCAGCCTTGCTTTCTACAGCGCCGGGTCCTTTGCCATCAGGGGCAGCGGTACCAGCGGTGCAGCAGTGGGGACATCAGACAGTGGACAGCGTGGTGAAGTACGGTACCATTTACCGGTACACATTATGGTACAATACCATTTCATTAAGCAGTGCCTTCAGGGGGACAGCAGTTGGTGAAGTATGGTACTGGAGTGCTCCCTGTCACTGCGCCGGCCGGAGGGTGTCCCCTGTCATCCCCTTAATACGATATGTCCCTGCAGGCTGATACCATCTCTCCTGCTCTTTAAGTTCCCCCTCACATGCTACCACCAAACCAGGTCTTATTTTCGGGGTAGGTCTTATATTACAGGAATCTTGAAAAATAGTGCTAGGTCTTACTTTCGGGGGAGGTCTTATTTTCGGGGAAACAGGGTAGGGAGGGTGACTCCCCCCAGTGGATGCAGACATAGAAATAAAATTCCAGCAGTTCTAACCACTCATTACTCTGAATTTGTGCTGACCTTCCGTCTGGAGGGTGACTACTTTGTTCCCCTTAGTCTCTGTGTGTGTTGTAAAGTAGCCACCACTCCAAGCTCGTTCCCATGATGGACTGCAATCTCAATACAAATAAGCTACCTGTACATGAGATTTTTATTATTCAGGATTTATAGTCCATCATGGGAGTTGAGAGATGATTTGAAGATCTAAAGCTGAGTGATACATAGATAAGCTACATTTTTGTCAATAGGTAGGGTACATGAATGCATTTTTCCGAATTAACCCCTGAGTTTAGCATCGCTTTTAAAAAAGGGGCTTTAGATAACCTTTAAGCTGAGAGACCCACGTATACAGTATATAGAGTACAAATATTGTGCAGAGAGCTTTTAAATGCTACTGGTGCAGCTTTGTTGTAGGTCTCCCTGCTGGGATTGCAGATAATAAAGGAAAGTAGTACAGATAAAGACCAATTTACAAAAATATTGGTAATGAAGATATCCTCTAAGGGCCATTTTGCGTGCGTGTTAATAGCAAACATTTGGGAAATATGTAGAAGCCTTTCCAAATGCTTTGCTTAATCTTACAAATGGAAGAAAATGTGTTCATATGCATTCATGTTTGAGATAAAGGGTTTGTCTTGCTGCATTCTGCTGTGCTTTGGTTTGGACGCTGCAAGAAACATTTAACAGGTATTGAAGCATGTAAATACTTCCTGATATCAGCCTGAAATACAAGCTGAAATGCTACTAAAATACTATATGGGCTTTCATGGAAGCATTTGTGAAGCCTCTGATATTTGTTTTCTGGTTAAAGGAGTTTGTTGCAGCATATTCTATCCTGTTTATAACATCACTGTAATAGGAATACATACTAGAGTTGTTTTTGATAATGCAATCAAAGCTTACTTGAAAATGTCCTTTTATGTAGTGAATGCTGCCTTCCATCTGCCCATTACTTTCAATAACTTCCTGGATTCCCAGCGTGCTTTGCATCTCTTTCCCTGCTGTTTGTAATTCAGTCTCGATTTCCCAAGACTACATGGCCCATAATGCATTGCTTCCAGCATGCATTGGTAATGTTACATTGTCAGATGTTGAGTTGCAGTTCAGAAGGCAAGCTTTGTGAGAGTTGCCACTCAAGCATATTCACCGGGCTGAGTGAAATTGTGTCAGTGCTTATCTTCAATAAGTAAGTTTACACTACCATATCAATATGGTTATTAGGAGTGTGATAGAACTTATGGAAATTCAATAAAGAAGTACATATGCATATTTAGTTTTTGATCACAGATACCTTTCAAGTTTGTGCTTTTATTTCTTCCACTTCTTAAATGATGAAAAAAAATGATTTTGTGTTTTCTGCTTTGATGAACTGTTGAAGTTGGTTCTCTAAAGGTGATTCTCTAAAGGCGTACAGTTTTTGAACACCAATCCGGTGCAGAGGAATGTTTTTAATTTGAAATTTCTAATCATAAATTTGTATATTATTTAATTGAACTAAGTGAATCATTCTCACTGAATTTATCGAATGTTTCTCATTCTGCTATGTTTCCTTTTCAGCTGCTTTATTTGGTCTTTTGCACTGGTAAGATTTGTATTTCTTTCTTGGGGTACTGTTAATCTTCTTTCTTGTTTTTAACGATTAGCCTACTCTAAACTGATCAGTGCTGGTTTGGTTTGTCTGGTTGGATTAAGCTGGCCATACACTGTGACTGTTCTACTTCCTTTTCATTCAACCCGCGGCCTGAACAAAAAAAAATAGAACAGATTCCCCCATCAACACTTGCGAGCGTTGATCGAGGAATCCCCCGCCGTTTGCATTGTATTCTTGACGGTGCCTGCTGACAGAATACCTGGACAGAGCCGGCGGCTCATCGGTCGAACAAAGCGGGCAGCCAAAGATTTTCCGACCCGCTCCTTCGATCAGCTGATTGAGGGATGTCGGCCAAAAGGGTGCTGACAGCGGCATCCACTGTGCGAATTTCGTCCAGTACATAAAGACCCGGCTGAAAGTTGCATAATGTATGGCCAGCTTTACTCTCCAGCTTTTTATATTTCTTAAGGTGGCCATACACTTAACAACCATTGCAAGACCTTAGTCTTGCGATGGTTGTAAAGTAATTTAAAAAACGTACGATCTGCCCATCTTGGACAGGCAGATCGTACTTGCGATCATCGCAAGCCCGCCCCCTTAAGGGGGCGCACACGGGCAGTGTGCGCTGGTTTTCTAGCATGCTCCTTAGACAAGACGTGCGACCATACAGTAGAAACGGTCGCACGTCTTCATTCACACTGCACGATTCTCGTACGATCGCGGGATTTCCCGCGATTCTCGTACGAGAATCGTGCAGTGTATGGTCACATTTAGGATCTCTATAACAAAGTCTTTGGGTCTTCCCACTTGCTATGGCTACTGTGTAGGAGCTATCGTTAATGGTCAGGAATGAGAGCTTGGGTAAGGAGACCTCATAGCTATATATGCATATTTTCTCTCATGACTGATACTCTCACACTCTCTAACCATTTGCTGTCCAGGACAATTTCTTACTATTTGCACACACATGATAAAATCTTGGCTAGAAAACTGCTTAAAACTCCCAATCAATTATATATTTTCTGAAAGCAGAGGCTTTGTAGAATCAAAAAAAATGTTAGTTGCAATTTTTTTATGTTGCATGTTATTTGTGAAATGTTTATCAAACCAGTATTTTTAGAGTAAAGTACACTAAAATGAACTTTAGTGCACAGAAACAGACTATAATACCCAATTTTTGGTAAAATATAAAAGACGGGGTAACATCTGGTAAGCTGATACCAAACATGTCAAGCCTTAAAATTCATCAGCCACCTATGTAATAGCAAATATGATGTGACAGGGGTCTCCTTAAAGAGGACCTAATATCCTAGGGACCCCAAAGAAGCTGATGAAGCAGCAACCTGCTTCACCAGCTTCTTCTCCTGGCTCTAGGAGCCGGAGAATGTGCACTGTGACACCGGAAGTGATGTATTACACATCGCTTCCGGGTCCAGTGATCGGAAGAGAGATCAGAGGCTAGAAGCTTGCTGATCTCCCTCTGACCGATGCAGGGAGACCCGCCGCGCCGGTCCCGGCTGTGCTATACAGCCACCGGATCGATTGTACCTGAATAGCCATTGTCGGCTGTTTAAAATGGTACTTTTAATACTTGCATATTAACCGGTTCAGAGGATGTGTGTATATATGTGAACCTGCCTGAAGTGGTTAATGTCTCTGAGTGGTCAGTCATTTGCATCTAAGACCTGCAATTCCTGTTTGATTTAAATATGCTGCCTATTTTCTACCTCCACCTAACGAAAATAATGGCATCGTATGGAACTTGACCTTTAGTACCACCTGTTAGCAAGTCTTTCCTCCTTATTTGTATTCAATTCCATCCTTGCAGACTGCTTTCAGTAGATATTAAGCCCTCCAATTAGGCAGTCTGATTATCTTGATTACTTGCATACATTAGTTTCAATGGCAATTATTGTCTTGGCTTCTCAAAACAGATTGTAGGCACTACACGCAGAAAAACTGAACATGAAGTAACAATGTTACCAATGGAATGTTACAATTTGTTTTCTAGGCCGCAATAAATGAATGACCTTCATGTAGTAATAATGTATTTAGTAATATAGTAATAATATGCCTTAAATTGATATGAAAGTCACAAGTTTTTTTAAGCTTTTTCAAATGCTGATTAAATCACTTCCAATGGTTGCTGCTTTTTAGTGTTTAAAAGCTTGCATTTCCTGCAGAATCAACTGGTCCCCTGAACACTGGCCCTGATATCCTGTTTTAGGGTTGCTCCTTTCCCTTGCAGGGAGTATGGAGCCACCCTTGTGTGTGACAGTAAGCGGAGCAGTCCATTTCGCCCTGCTGCCCTCTCCTCATACCTCCCTTCTCCACGCTATTAGATGAACAGCTGTTGGAGACTGTTATGTCCCTTATGATCCTGTACTGAAAGGGAAGTTCAGGGAAGCCAGCTGTTCAGAAACCAGATGAACAAGTGCTGAAGCAAAAATATAAAGAAATACTTTGCTAGGCTTTATTTCTTTGATCTGGATTTATTATTTAAAAAAAAAAAAAAAGTTTAAGAGTCTGTTGCTGTGCAAAAAGGCCTGCAATAGAGGATTGTACATACCTGCCCCGCTGCCAGTTCCTCTGATCTTTGCGCTCTTACTAGAGTAAGGGCCTCTCCACATCTAACACACTTTCAAGATTGTTGGATTCTGTGTCCCCTGCCACATGCAATCGTTCCTTCTGCCGGCCCCTCCCTCACTACAGCACGCAATAGCGTCCAAGGGGTCAGTGGAAGGAACCACAGCGTGCGGTGGGGCACGTAGTATCTATAGTTCTTAAACATTTCTCTCTGCCCTCCTATAGATGTGAGTTGCAATATATTACATTTTTGTTCTTTGTTTTAGATACGCTTTATGTTACGGGTCAAACAGCAGCTTACCGAGATTTTACTTTGTCACTAATAAAAATAGCCTAAAGTGACATTAAACCCTCAGATTTTTTAACATAAACCAATACTGTAATGTGGGCCTTACTGTAATCCATGGTTGTTTCCTTTCTCTTTGCTGCTCTTCCTTTTAAATCTGTATCTCTTCTCATGCTTGGGGAGAACTTCCCTTTGCAGCTGAGTGCCTCTTCCTGTAGTGCTGGCTCAGGTTGTGAACCTTCACACAGACACCATGTAGCTATTCCAGAGACAAGGCAGTCTGCTGCAAAACAGAAGTTCTGCCCAGCATGAGAACAGATACAGATTTAAAAGGAAGAGCAGCAAAGAGAAGGGAAACAACCATGGATTACAGTATTGTTTTATGTTAAAAAATCTGAGGGTTTAATGTCACTTTAATAGTGCTGTTGTTTACATGTGTCCTTTGATCCATAGGCGTTACATATCAACACTTTTTGAGAATGACCGCCATTTTTCTCACCTTTCAACACTGGAACGAGAAATGGGTTTCCGTACTGAAATGGTAAGTTTTTTTTTTACTGATCTTTATTAAAATGAGACCATTGTCTTCCAATGTGATTTGCTTTTATTGTGTGTCTTTTTAGTACTGTTAAAAACAAAAACTGTACATTCCAGACTCTAAGTTTTCTTTTTGAAACTAACCTTTCTTCATGGCTATGTTTACCATAAGGGCATCCACGGGACTGTGCCTAAGGCTGGTCGTACACTTACGGTTTTTTCTTATTCGGCTCGGTGGCCTGAACGAGAAAAATCTTGAAGCGGCAGCCACTGGTCGGCCAAGATTTTACGGACTGGCTCCTTTTCCAAAATGTAATTGAAGAATCAACTTTTTGTGGAATAGAGGGGTGCCGACTGGGCTACATACTGGTCGATTATGGCCATTTAAAAGGTTATTTCCACTTTTGCAGCCAAATTGGGGTAACACCTACTTTTATTTTTATTACATGTTCCCTTAAAAATAAATTAAAATTGTTGCATGCATATTACATGCTCTTGTCTGAAAGAAACGTTTTTCTGTGTATTGAATGTTCCTCTAGAATGTAAGGGGGCTGGACAGGTTAATGCCGACATATTTAACCAGCTTCCTGGCCAATCAGCATGGAGCTGACCGAACAGCTGGCTCCATGCTGATTGGCTGGAAAGCCGGCTTCCCATCCGCCTACCAGCTTCCTGATTGGATCATTACTGACAGCATGGCTTCCTCATTAGCCGGGAACTCGGCTCGATGCTGATTGAGCTTGGCTGGGAAACCGGCTTCCCAGCCAATAAAGCAGGTTAGACAACATGGAGCCAGTTTCTCGGGCAATCAGATTGCCCGGTAACCTGGCTCCATGGCAGCGGAAGCACCGGTATTGGTACTTGGTATCAATGAGTACCGAAAGCAAAGTATCGGTACTCATACTCGATACATATAAATATATATATTAGGGGGTTTCTCAAATTTGACTGCAAAGGGGAAATACACTTTAAAGCGGACCTTTACCCCCTTTTGACTAAAAATAACGCCATGCTGATATAAAATCATAATTAGTTAAACAAACATATTTTTCTTTTACTTACAATTTTTTTCTACTTCCTGGTCCACTTTGGCACAAATTATGTAATCGTGCCCACACATTGCATCCTGGGAAGATAAACATCATCAGAGCAGTGGTGGGAAATCTCATCTGTAATCTCATGAGATCCCAAAGAAAGGCATTTCCCTCCCCTGAGATGATGTGCATGATCACTTGTCCTAGCCACCGGTGCCAAAGTTCCAGGAAATAAAGAGAGATTTAGTAATCTGTCCTTAGTAAAAAAATTGCCACTTTGAGAAGAATGGGGAGTAAACAAAAAAAACTATAAGTATGTGTTTGTAGATTGCCATTACTAAACATTTCTGAAGGTGTATTTGTAGTTATTTTGGAGAAAAGGGTAAAGTTTCTTTTTAAGGCAACAGGGTAAGCGGGAGGGGTAATCTTTGTGACTGAATTTAACAAAAAAACTGTGGAGGGATGGGGTTTAGGGTAGTTTGAGAGGAGTCTGAAGACTTACTGTAGTTCAAGAAGCATGAATCCTCCTCTATTGTCTCTTGTTTGTTGATCTGTACAGTTAAAAAAAAAAAAAAAAGGGGGAAATAAAAAGCAGACTTGTCATGGTCAGAGTATTTGTACCCAAGTGCATTTTAGTATAGAGATTTGTAGTGTACCCCCTGTTCATCTTAAATCTGTAAAGTTATTTTTACATTTGTAAATTGGACACAGTCATGTGACATTATATTCTATTTTAGTGAGTGCCTATTTTAAGTTACTGTTTAAGTACTTTTTGGTATCGCTTCACATTTTTTTAAACTTGCTTTTTCCTGTTTTTTTTATTGTATAAAATGTGCTATGGTGATTCCACAAGGCTTTGTTGCTGTCACTGTACTTCCTGCTTAACATATTTTGAGACTCATAGACCGTGACTCGGGGGGCGAGCAACTCTGACCCTCCAGCTGTGCTTTAACTGCACATCCCAACATTCCTTTGCCTCTGGCAGTCATGCCTATAACTGTCATTGTGGTACAATTCCTCATGGGACTTTCATATAACAGCTGGTGGGCCGGAGTTGCCCACCCCTGGTGTGACTCATAGAACGTGTCCAATAGATCTAAAGTCTGCTAATACTTTTAGACTAAAAACCCTCCTGTGTGTTTCTTAAAAAAGAAAAAAATAGTAATTTTGTTATTGGGGTCTTGACTACCCTGACTTCGGAGCTAATCCCTTTCAAGTGCCATTATCCGGTTCAGTAAGAGTATCATTGCTCTCATTCATACAAGCCTCCTTTCTTTTATTTAAGCACAGGAGAAATTGATCTGGGAAGTATGAACAAATGTATGCTTCCCAGATCTTTTTCTCTTTTAATAAAATGTACTTGCATCTACACACATTTAGAGTATGTAATCTGCCTCTGGAAGCACAGATTTCGACTTTTTTTTTCTAAATGCAGCTAAACTGAATGCACCTGAACGCATGGAAATGCATTAAAACAACCTTTTTGTTCTAGCACTGTTGAGGACACTCCACCCTCTCAGTGATGCATTTTGTCCGCTTAAACTAGTTATATATGGGTCTTTTTTTTATGTCAACCTACAGGCTGAACCAAAACAATAGAACAGATTCCTCCATCAAAGCTTACCAGCGTTGATCGAAGAATCCCCTGCTGTTTCTATTGTATTCTGACAGCGGCTGACGGAGCCTGTAGATGATTGCTGCAAGGTCAATTCAGCAGAGAATTTTTCCATCTTGATCAAGCGATGCCGGGCGGAAGGGTGATGACAGCAGCACCCACACAGCGAATTCCAGCTGGTACCTCAAGAACCGGCCCAAATTTGCTGCATGTATAGTCTACTTTAATTGTAGTGGGGTAGGCATTTTGAAATTCTAAAACTATGATTTAAGCCCCCATTTCAGGGAAAACGCATTAGAAAGAGTAGCTGAGTGAAGTGTCCTCAATAGTGCTGGAAGGATAAAGTTTTTTTATTCCTATTGGAGCAGCAGTGTGCAGCTTTTTTTATATGTACATGGGCTGGTTTAGGTTTTGGTTGAGGAATACAACCCAGAGATGTGAGCAACCGTATCTAAGCGGCTGAGTTGATACCAGCAGACCTTCTTTTTTTTTTTAAGCTAAGTTTTATTAAAAGTTTTCAGAACAAAGAAATCAAAGTAAAGGGAGCAGGAGTCACTGATGTGGTTATGCATACAGCGTAAGTATCAAATATACGATATGGACCTGATCATGGTCATACGCTGGAACCAATTTTAACACTAATGCACTTTCTAAGATAATTTACTGCAAGAAGACACAGGGGGGAAAAAAAAACATAAATCAAGAAATCTTTCGAAAAGGAGTTGAGCAGTTTGAGCAGAGAGAGACACTTCAGAAAAAGGACAAGGAATAAACTAAGGGAAAGAAAACAGACCATGGAAATAAGACATGATTAGGGGAATTATAGCGGCGGGCCTTTGAGAGGTTCTGGGGACACAGCAGGTGATGTATTGTCCTCACCTTCCACTATCGCTGAGATGACACAAAAGTTCACCACAGCAGTAAGTTTGTAGATTCATTTCATAGTACCCCCAACCAGCACGTAATTCTATAGGGAGTTCATCTAGCATATAGAAGACGATAGGACATTAGGAGAGAAATCTATTACCGTAGTTTATTGTTAGCTTAATGCTGTCTAGGTCGAAATCTTGAATCTTTCTGCTTTGCAATGTATTCTAGTTTCTTGGCCTGATTAGTTTGTCACATAATACAGAATATTTTTGAAAGGAAATCTGGCTAACAAGAGAGGACTTGGACGTGCAGTGTTCCACTAATTAGACAATATAACATGTTCCTGCGGAGTCTGTAAGTGTTAGTAGCAAATCGTGCCCACTGAGGCACAGAAGAAATTTGAGACGGAGACACCTCTGGGATATGCTGCAAAATTGTACAAATTCAAAATGTAGCAGAGTTTTTTTTTTAAACTGTCTAAAGATGATAAAATGAATTGTCTTGGTGGTAATGAATACATGTTTTAGAAATATTTATATATTTTATATCTAGATAAATGTATAAAGAGGGAAGCAGGTTGTTTACCACGACAGTAGAAGTGATTTTTTTTTCTGAAGATACGGGTAAACAACGCGATTTAACAGCCTTTGAACGTGCAATGATTGTTGGCGCGAGCCATGGAGAGAGTATCAGCAAAAGAGCAGCTGTTGTTAAAGTGTTTAAAGACTGGACTGTCAGCCGAAAATCTGGGTCTGAACGTGCGAATTGTGGCCGTCAGCGACTAGTCAATTTTAGGGCAGAACGGAGAGTGGCAAGACTGGTACAAGACAACAGAAGGGCAACAGTGTAGTGTCAGATTCCTCGCATCACCTTTCAACATCTCGTGGAGTCACGAGGCGTCCCAACAAAGTCATCTCCTGGAGTCATTTTGTGGCCCAACGAAGTACTGATGTGGTGGTCATAATAATCTGGCCACTCAGTGTATAGTAGAGTGTATATTTGCTGTAGTGATGTGTTAAATAGTCATGTATGCAGTTATGGATTAATCATATACCTATTATATGATGTTTGCACTATGCCATGTTGTATATTTTTAATAAACAACATTTTTTTACTTATTTCTGTCATATCTTTTACATGCATGCTATTTTATATTATTGTTATAAGATATTAAATTATATTTTTATATATCATTATGATAAGTTGTAAAATGAAATAATCACAGGAAGTGCGTGGTTTTTAGTGGATCCAAAATGGCATAGTCTTCCATCATAAGTGCTCCATAAAGACTTTATATTGGGAGCAAAAGAGCTTTTTCTATTCACATCCACACGTTTCAATCTTTTCACTTATATGCAAATGTTAATTTAACCATGGAAATCAATCAGACATTTGCTTTGTGCTTAACAAGACAGATAAAAGTTAATTGCTGATTGTTATTATCTAAATGTACTGTGGAAACTTAATGCGTTATATTAATATTAAGGCTTTTACTTAGTGATCTCTTTGGCAAGGTTCATCCATCATTTTTAAATGTTTTCACAGGGCCTGTATTATTCTTATTTCAAATCTGTCATTGAAGCACCATCGTATTTTTCGGGGTTGCATCTGATCATGAATGATAATGTTACAGAATATCCTAGTGTAATAAACACTTTTCATGAGGGCTCACAGTATGTTCCTATATGTGTATAGAGTAGCTTTGTGTAGCACAGGCAGAGCCAAATTTAACAAAGGTATGTCTGCCACTCTGTTTATTAAAGGGTTGCTTTTAATGTCGACCAATTTGTGAAGGTCTGTTAGTGTTCATTACTTTCAGTGTCCGTTATTGGCTGTCAACCTGTTTACTTGTAAGATTCGGCTTATTATAAGGAAGCTTTGACTTCCTCGATTGGGTCACTTTTTCCAAAGACAGGGGAACAGCCAGAGACAGACTGGAGGTACCTGTTTTTTGCAATTTGTGAGTAGCAATATTTTTTTAGATAAATAGGGCCACCAGTCTATGTTTAATTTATATGATAGGATGTTTTTTATTTCCAAGATCCCCTTTTAAAATAATTAGAGAGATAGATACTGTGTATATTTAAAATGTTAAACGGCTGCAGGAACCCCCTGCTGTTGGATCTTTTATTAGAGTTTGATACTTCAAATTAGGGGGTATACAAGCATGTTTACCTCTCCTTCTACAGTGCTGTGCTCTGTGCCTGAGAGGCCAATTGCAAGGTCATAAAAATATACATGGGGGCGGAGAGTTGTGCCTAGCCATATGCAAATTCTGACTCTTAGAATGTTTTGATAAGGATTTAGAGCTCCATTGATATGACACCTTTATGGTGTTAATTTGCATTTTTCATACAGATTCAGATGTAGAACAGACACATCTAGTACAAAGGGTAAAATAATGTTTTATTTCTCATTTGTTCTTTAAAAAGAATTTGCGGTGACATTTATGTAAATATCCACACTGCAGTGTATTTTTCATCTTTTCTTCTTAAAACTGCTACTTCATTATTTGTACAGAGTTGGATAGCTACAAAAGGCACCATTCCTAGATCTTCGTTTTTTTTGCGCAGTTGGAGATTTTTCCACCTTTTCAGCTTGTTTTATTAAACGGGAAATTTGCTTTTAAAATCTTGTTGCCAGTAGCATCAAATCCTTTTCTCCATGCAGGTGATTTTGGCCAGCTGGTTCCGTACTTACACCACAACAATGAAATTTGTTGGCATTGAGACTAAAATCTGCTGGACAGTTAATCGAGGGGGTGATCTCAGTCCCGTTGAAAGCTGTGAAGGTAATAGAAGGTGACATTTTGTCTAGAAATGTTCTTTCGCTCTCGAGCGTCATTTATTTTTTTAAAATTTTTTTTTTTTATAGTTTTTTTTTCTTTTTCAGGTCTTGGTGATCCTGCCTATTTTTATGTCACCTTTATATTTCTTTTAAACGGACTAATGATGACCTTATTCTATATCTATGGGACATATTTAAGGTAAGCATTACACTGCATTATTATTAGTGTGCAATAATAGTGATTTTCACTGTCATTGTTGCTCATACTTCGGTGGGAGCATGGAACTTTAAACCACAGCTTGTTTTTACGCATCTTTAGCCCGCTGTCAGCTCTCTGCCACAGTGTATCTAATAAATCCCATTAAAGGGAAGCTATCACTTCTATTGTGCTATCACATAGGGGGCTTGTCATCCCCTTATATGATAACAATTAAGTTAAGTAAAATAAAAAGTTTAAAAAATTTAAAGTGAAATAAAATCAAAAAAATAAACACCCAAAAAATGTTGGGAGCATTGACTGGCCCATGTAGTCCAATTTCAATAGAATAACTACTGTAGCTCAAATTACTGAAAAGGTTAATGCTGGTTCTGATAGAAAGGTGTCTGAACTAACAGTGCATCGCAGTTTGTTGCATATGGGGCTGGGTAGCAGCAGACCAGTCAGGGTGCCCATGCTGACCTGTGTCTACCAACAAAAGTGCCTACAATGGACAGGTGAGCATCAGAACTGGACCATGCAGCAATGGATGAAGATGGGCTGGTCTCATGAATCATGTTTTCTTTTACATTATGTGGATGACCAGTGTGTGTTGTTTATCTGGGGAAAAGATGGCAACAGGATGCACTATGGGAAGGAGGCACTTTGGTCCTTTGGGCAATGTTCTGCTTGGAAACCTTGGGTCCTGCTGCCATTTATGTGGATGTTACTGTGACACTTACCACCTACCTAAACATTGTTGTTGATCAAGTACACCTCTTCATGATAAAGGTATTCCCTGATCGCAGTGGCCTCTTTCAGCAGGATAATGTGCCCTGCAAAAATGGTTCAAGAATTGTTTGAGGAGCACAGCAACGAGTCTGAGGTATTGACTTGGCCTTCGAATTCTGCAGATCTCAATCCAATTAATCATCTGTGGCATGTGCTGGAACAAATAAGTCTGATCCATTGAAGCTCCACCTTGCAATTTTCAGGACTTAAAGGATCTGATACTGATGGCTTGGTGCCAGATATCACAACATACCCTCAGAGGCCTAGTGGAGTCCATGCCTCAATGGGTCAGGGCTGTTTTGGTGGCAAAAAAGAGGACCTACTCAATATTAGGGGGGCGGTCATGATGTTATGGCTGATCGGTGTATATATGTGTACAAAATTGCTAACGGCTCTCTTTTAAAGCCTTACTGTAAACAGCAAGAATCTCCAGGTTTCTGCATTCCACATCCAATACAATGTATGAACGCCTGACACCCAGGGTATATAAATTTTTTTCTGTTTTTATTTTTGTAGTGGCAGTCATCTTGGAGGCTTTGTCACAGTCGTGTGCTTTTTCTATAACCATGGTGAGGTACGTATATTTATTTGTTAAACATGCCTGTACTGTATATATATTATAGGAATTATTAGAACAAATCAAATGGGAATTAATTCCTATGCAGGTGCACTATGCACCTCAGATTTTATTCCTTTTTAATTATGGCAAGTTTAAAGTGCAGCCAAAGCCAAAACATTCAGTTTTGCATAGGGTAGAGAGGAATTATGACGCCTCTAAGGTTTTATTGCTGTATGTGCCCCTGTTTGGGAGATTCACCCTCTCCATTTGTCCCAGTGACTGCTATAAGTGAAAATGAAAGAAAATCCCAAATTTAGTTTGTCATCAGAACATCCCCGTTATCCGGAATCCACAGGGATTGGTAGATTCTGGATAAATGTAGTTTCTGGTTTCTTGAGAGTTACTATTAAAAATAGGTCTAACTAATCCCATACTATACCATGTCATAACATAAACTCTGTATTGGCTTCATATTAATATTGAAATGCAGTAATAAAAGACAAATAGACACACAATCGTTTCCAGGATAATACATGCTGCAGATCAGCAGAACAGTGAGATAGTTTAATACCAGATAACATAGACTTTACTGTAGATAGGAAATCTTCCAATGGGGACACTATTCCTTTTCTTTGGAGGGATTTCTTTGACTTCTGTTGTGACTATCAGCCACGAAGTGAAGGGAAATCTCCCCAATGGGACACGGATAGCAGAAAAAAAAAAGCTGACAGGAGTTATAATTCTCCCTTACTCTATCCAAAACTTAAAAAAAAAAGGTTTAGCTTTAGTGCTAAATTGCTGCCAGTTAAAGATTTCTGGAAAGGCCTAAAACTAGTGTGCATCAAAAAACTAATGTTTTAGTTTTACGGTGCTTATAGTTGAGCCCCAGCACCATTACAAAAAGCTTCAGCATTCGACTGCAGAAAAATCCTGCTGTAGGTAGAAGTACATCTACACTCTTTGCAGTGGTCTGACATGATCCTCGCTTAGTCAGATGTTGATGCCTTTTTCTCTACAGTCTTCATGCTGTCATTTAGACACAGATCCAGGATAGTTCAATATACACCTTTTAATATACTGAGGACTACTTTGAGAAAACACATTCTACATCAGAAAAAGGGTTTTGTACTATAATTGATCATATAAATTATCTTCAATACATGAGTATGTAAACATTTGTCATGGAATTCTGTTGAAGGACTAGGCACTCATTGGCTAGTATTATGTAACGGTCTCAGTAAATATAAGTGGAAATATGAATCTTATTGTGTTTTTACCTTGTTTTATATATTTGTCTTTTTCTTATCTTAGTCCTAATAAAATCTCTTTATATCTGTAGAGCACAAGAGTAATGTGGACTCCGCCACTACGTGAAAGCTTTTCATATCCATTCCTTGTTCTGCAGATGTTACTGCTTACGTACATCTTAAGGTACTGATCTTTACAGATTTTCCAACTGAACAGGTCAAGAGAAAAAAGGTTTTCACTGAAAGTGTCTGTAGAAATTGTAATTATAGACCTAGGAATCTGTGTAGGCCTAATATCTGTACTATTAATTGGTGTACAGTCTAAAAATATTCTCTGACACACTGCTTATTTGTCAAGGGCTATTGTATGATGTATAGTGACATTTGCTGCTTACGTATGAGGGCATTGTTTTACCGGTTCTGTGGTCCAACCTAACAGATTTTGCTGTGCAAATTGTTTTTTGTTGGCTTTACTTGCCTTGAATGTGTAGCGTGATAGTGTCTCTTTAATGAAGGCAAAGACACATAGTCTAATCATTTTAAAGTAACTATGTCTTGACCCAATTCTCATAAGGCAGGAATTACACCATTCAGGTTCTTGTCAAATCTTTGGTTTCTTTTTCTTAATTCAAATTAAAACATCTGTCTGTAAAACAAAAGCATCTACAGGACCCTTTTTTGCAGCTGTACGGGTTTTACTGAAAATCAGTTGTTTCTTTCTTGATGGTTATTAAAGTGCATCTCTAGGCAAAGGAATGGGGAAATCCAAAATTTTAGAGTTGTCCCCATAACAAGAGTTAATGGAAAATCTTCCAATGGAGATATCTGTTCAGGGGGCAATTGTCTAAGAGGGGAATTATCCTCACTTTGAGAGTTTTCCTCTAACTTCCTGTAGTGTCCCTGAGAGAGAAAGTGAAGAGAAATTTCCTCAGTGGTATACAGACAGTAAAAGATAACCTGGCAGGAGTTTTAACCCTTTCCTTCTCTAAAACTTAAAGAAAAAAATGGGGCTAAACTTAAAGAAAAAAATGGGGCTATACATACACTTTAAAGTAGTACTCAAAGCATAAGCGACATTCCCTGCTGAATATCCACACTTAAAGGGTTCACTTTTCACCAGGCAATTGAAAAGTCAAATTTTGTCGATCAGAGGGGTGCTGGCAGGGTGTCCCACAACTCAAATTTTGGTCAGTTCATCAGGAACTGGCCAAGATCCACTTTCTGCATGGCCAGCCTAAGCCTCCTTTTAGGAACATCTTTCAGCCAGCATTAGCGTCCTTACAGAACAGGCTACTTTTGGCTAGTTAAGAAGCAGGCATCTAATGTAAAAGTTTAAAAGGCTGACAGTATAATTTTATATGACCTGCACTATATGTTTATAATTGGAAGCTTCTGATGATGTACCAATAAAAATGTTGTTTGCTTTATAGGACAACGAACATCGGTAGAAGAAGCCTGATTGCACTTTGTGCTTCTAATGTCTTTTTTATGCTTCCGTGGCAGTTTGCTCAGTTTGTTCTTCTAACACAGGTAAGCTTTCCGAAAGTTGCATGCTTACAGTACTATACTATCGTGCCGGCAATTTACGCAGTGCTTTACATAGTTGCACATTGACATCAGTCCCTGCCCTCAAGGATCTTACAATCTAAGGTCCCAAATGCCACACATACAGGGCCAATTTAGACAGGAGCCAATTAACATACCAGCATGTCTTTTGGAGTGTGGGAGTAAACCGGAGTACCCGGAGAAAGCTTGCGCAAGCACAGAGAGAACATGCAAACTCCTTGTAGATAGTGACCTGGCCAGGATTCAAACCAGAAACCCCCAGTGCTGCAAGGCGTAAGCGCTAACTACTACGCTACTGTGCTGCCCATATTACTCGCATTACATTTAGCCCTGTCCTCCCTGGCCCTGTGATGCATTCATTGGGTTTCAGTTCTTTCCACCATAGAGTCTCAGCATCTCGTGTGGGTGTTACTTAAGGTAGTCTGTATGCAAATACAGCCTGAATAGGCTACTACTAGGCCTACTTCTGCACACTAACACCCACCTATAAAAGCATTTCGATATTTGCATAACTCCTCCCAGAAGCCAGCTGACTGCGTACATCAGGCCTGAGGGCTCTTAAGAGGAATACTGCGTAAGGGGGCTGTGATAGAGCACCCTGCCAACCCCTCCCACCAGCCATTAATTGCCCGCATAGCATAGAGAAGCACAGAGACCCAGCCATAACATCACTGGATCAGGGGAAGGTGATATATAAGCCGATTACGTGATAGCTTTAAAGGAGAACTATGAGGTGACTGCTTTTCACTCATGAAGGGGACAGTCTGCTGAACAGTTCTACTATAAGCTGATGGTCGCTAAAGCGGCCATCAGCTTATAGTAGAACTGTAAATGCCAGGTCCGTACGACGTACTGAGCTGGCCAGCTGGAAGCACTTTTGTAGCTCCATACGACGTCCTTGGCAGCGAAAGGGTTAAGCCGTATCTTCAAATCTAACAATTTCATGTATATTTTTAAAAAATATATATTTTTGTATTTTTTTCAGATTGCCTCTTTATTTGCTGTATATCTCATTGGCTGCCTGGATTCTGGCAAGTTTTTGAAAATACTATATACCCACATGGTAAGGTTTGTTATATTCTGCATTTTTGTTTTATGATAACATTTAGACCAGGGGTGGGCAGCTCCAGCTGCGCTTTAACTACAAGTCCCAACATGCCGCTGCCTCTGGGAGTCATGCCTGTAACAATCAGTCTTGCTATACCTCATGAGACCTGTAGTTACTCAACAGCTGGAGGCCTGAAGTTGCCCACCCCTGATTTAGACTGATAGACACTATTAAGTAAGACTAGGGTGGGCAGGTGTATATATGGCTATGCATAGTAACTGTTGACATCTCCAAACATAACGGCAGGATCCAGGTTTGTATTGTTCCATTCAGTACTTGACAACCTAGAATATCAGCTCTAAAATTCTATCATACTTTGTAGACACGAGTATTTTTGCAGCATCTTTTATGGTACTGCTCCTCTGTATAACATTTCAGTTTCTTGCACATTGACTTGTCTACAGGTATCACTGGCACTGTGTGTAATACTGATGTTTGGAAACTCCATGCTGTTGACGTCCTATTATGCTTCATCCTTATTGATTATATGTGTAAGTATTTGGTAAATGGGATAGTATTAACTCCTGTCCCTTTTGGCAATCTAGCCCTGTTATCTTAGTGTGCTGCAACAACTTTTGCAGCAGATTTATCACTTACATGTATCTTTGCATTCTAACGACGTGTATTTTACAGCTGATTGTTAAGAAGAGAATATTTGCAAGCCTTGAAATGAAGAATAAGTTTGTGAGTTGGGTAAGCTTTTATACAACTTGTCACTCTTTGTTTTATTCCTGACTTTATTTGTGTATTTAAAGTAGTATTAAACTCTTAAACATGTTTTGTTTTCGATAATGAATCCAGATCAAACGTGTACATTTTCCAGGCAAGTAATTTCTTTACATTTTTACTCAAGCACTTACAGTCATCATGTTCCTGAAATAGCTCCAAGTGTCTCAGCTCTGCTTCCCTGAACGTCCTGGCCAGTACAAGATCACAAGGGACAGCACAGTCTCCAACAACTGTCCATGTACTAGTTTGGAAAGAGGAGAGAGACTTACCTTGCTTTGCTTGTGTGTCTGACATACACAAGGGTGGCTCCATAGGACCCTGCAAGGGAAAGGAGCCACTATAAAACAGGATATCCGGGCCAGTGCTCGGGATCAGCTGATTCTGCAGGAAGTTAAAACTTTTAAACATGAAGGAGCAGCATCCATTGTGATTTCATCAGCATTTGAAATGGCATAAAAACATTTTGACTTTAATATCACTTTAATGTTGGTAGACTGCAAACAGACTGCCAATGATTTATGATCACCATTTAGTAGTGGAATAGAATATGTAGTAAAGTTAATAGTGGTTAAGCGGTTCTCTGAAACGTCTACCTTTTGCCTTAAATTCCTCCTGAGAAGTCGCAGTGCACTTCCTGCTGTGACTGTTCACAATATAAGGAAAACATTACAAATACTATACAAATCAAGACAAAATGGTAAGGAGGGCTCTGCCCATTAACCCTTCATCCTGCAATAGACTTTTTTTTGTTCGGGGGGTGCACAGCTTTCAAAGTATATGTCCTCTTTACCTGTCTGAATTAAACAATTTTTAGCATGACTAAGCCAACAAATAATATGTCTTGAGACTATCCCGCAGTTTAGCTCAAAGTCAACATCCCTTGTGCACCCAATGTAGTGTTTGAACTCCGTTTAGGTTGTGTCTTCCATATCTGTTCTATGCATAAATATTTTAGGCAAGTGTGCCAATTAATATTTTCTGCCAACGTCTTGTTATTTTATGCTAATTATGCAGTGAAAAGCCAGTGAATCAGTTTGATGTGTTTCCTTTTTTTTTCCGACATGCTTTTTTCCGGTGTATGTATATTTTGATATGACATGGTTGTGGATTACTTTGTTTTTTGTATCTGGAGCCTGAGCTCTCCCAAAATTTGAAGTCTTAAGAAGGGATGCACTGATACTGGTTGTTCGGTATCGAGTACGGATATTTTGCTTTCGGTACTCGTCGATACCATGTGCTAATACTGGTGCTTCAACCGGCATGTAGCTGGTTTCCTAGGCAATTAGAGAGCCGGGGTGGCTAGTAATGACATGCCACTCAGGAAGCTAGGAGATGGGTCATTACTCACTGCCCGGCTTCCTGATTGCCGGCTCCATCTTCTCCTACAGCACTGCCGGTCAGAGGAAATCTTCCACTGACCGGAAGTTCCAGTATTGGGGAAGGTATTGCAGCATTTGGGCGAGTACATGTACTCGCCCAAATACTCGGTATCGGCACCGATAACAATACTAGTATTGTTATCGGTGCCTAGTCTAGCTAGCATCCCTAGTCTTAAGTATTGGTTGATCTTCTTCATCGATGCCCACTAGGACAGGAGTAGGCAACCTTGGCACTCCAGCTGCTGTAGAACTACAGTAGTCCTATGAGGCATTGCAAGACTCTTGACAGTCCCAGAGATGACTCCCAGAAGCATGGTGGGACTTGTAGTTTCACCACAGCTGAAGTGCCAAGGTTGCCTACCCCTGCGCTA